GTACGAGACAGGTTTATGGAGCTATTACAGCCATCAGAAACCCATTATTCTTTTATCAAACCCTGACAGTTGTCATAATACCTCATTCTGCTTTGACCTGTGGTTGATGTAATTACATTATATATGTGAGGTAGAGTAAAATACCAGTGCAGTGCTCTATTTCTGTGAAATCTCTGCTAGTACGGTGCCAGGTATAACAGATCCTCAGCTTCTCCCGCTGCTCGGAATATTTGATTTTGGGGAAAATGGATCTTATGCACAGACTGCAGATCTTGGCGAATAATTCAAACTGAGGCTCTATCTGTGAAACCAAACGAAACTGTCTGGAAAAGTCTTTGGACCTTCCATACACTATGAACAAATGTGAACAGCCCGGCAGAGCGTGTGCTAAGTCAGTGGCTTTGCTTCACTGTCCCGAGGCACAAAGCGGCCAGTTGCACTTGCTGGGTTATTATACTATTGCATGCATTAGATAAAGACAAATAAAAAAAATCATAAATATTTACACAAAAACAAGATTGGACACAAAACAAGGAGTCAACAAATTATTCATGCAAGTAATCCAATGAGCAAAAAATCCTAAATTCACCACTTTTTGCTCCATTTTACATCACTTTAAGTTGCATATTCCATGTAATGATGAATTGACTCTATCACTACTGTACAATTAAGCATCACATACCCTTGAGGCTGCTGAAGTCAGCAAACATTAGTCTCCTGCTGCGTTAACCAAATACATACCGCATTATCATGTCAGAATGTACGCAACCAAACACAGGATATGTTTGTTCTTGTATCCGACCAAAGACAGCAGAAAAAATCCCTAATGACTGTACAGAAAAAAAATCCCAAATGACCACAACCTTTATCAGAAGAACTTCCTTCAGGGTTTACCGGATAAGCTAATTCATTTCAGCATTTTATTTCCTACATTTCCTGTTGCACTTTGTCTTTTGTCCACTGGCAACACCACCACATCACTTTAAGATTTAACAGTCATCACTGCCTTCATTCTAAATTATTAATAACCACCTATTGCTAACAGCTATGTGGCAGTAAAAAATAAATAAAAAATGCATGTAATATATACATAAACCAAAGGGTTTAATGATGTACTGATGAAACATCTGTCCAGCTGGTTGATGTGGACTTCACACCAGTCTGCTGATGCCATCTTCTGGACAAAGTTATTACCACAAGCTTGTCTTGGAAAAACACAGAATGAAGATTATTCATTCATTCACTGCTTACATCAGTTTTGACCACAAACTGTTGGACGAAAAAGAGATGTGAGAGTGCTGGGAAAACGCAGGAAGAGGGCAAAAGGTTGAGCATGTGTCAGCGACAAAAAGCGTCTGTTTCAGCACTGCTGCCTGAGGATATATGTGTGTGGTGGGTATGGAACATATACAGGGCCATGCATTATTCCTGTAGGTCATGACACAGACACACACTGAACACAGGCTGAACCCAGAGACCGTAAAGAGAACCCACACAGGGACACCCCTGACGCACATTTTGTTTGGAGAAGGAGTGACTTCACTGATCTGGTACTTGTCTTTGTTATTTCTTTTTTCTTCTTCTTCCTGCTGACTTCAGGGCAGGGACCTGGCGGCTCGGCCCACAGAGGTAACGGTCAGCATTTGCTGCAGTTTGAAATAAAATCCCCTCCCACAACTCCTCCTCCTCCCAAACTTTCCCTCAATTTCCCCTCCCTCTCAGCTTCCCTTTCCTACGCTCATGAAATCACTTCAAGACAGACTCCCTCCTACAGAGCCAATCGGTGTGCTTTATGGGATTTATGGCTCCCATTTTCAAAGCTCCATAAATTCTGGATTACAGCATGTATGTCTTTTTGCGACTTTGGTTGTCTGCTTGTTTGTACAAATAAATAAACCTAAATTAGGAACACGCTTTCTTTAAAAAAAAAGACTTTTAATCTAGCATGTTGAATGCTTTCTTGTCTTATCCTGTGACTTGAGTCAAAACAGCCATTGACCTCTGAAGCTAAATTGTTGATTATGAATGGGTGAAAGAAATGCTCTTCCCACAAATGATCATCACATTGGCTGTTTTACAACTTCCTGCTCAGAGCTCTGCCTGGGCTCTTACAAATAATCCTTTGCTGGCGGACTTAGCCAGAGTAAAAAGCAAACATCACTGGCACATCAAAACATTTTGGAGATTTACATTTTAAACAAAGCCACAAAGAAAAGTTGCTTTCTTTCTTAAGATGCTAAACTTAAGATTCTTTTTTTCTTCTGAGAATACAATCCATGACATATTCTTCTAATAAGCTCCTTGGTTAGTGAGATGGATCTGTCACTTAAAGCAGTCTTCTGACTCACCATCCAAGCCCCAGTGATCATAGGGATGTCCAATTAGCAGTTTAAACTTTCATTACTACAAAATAAGACTCTTTGGACAAAACACCCCTGACCTTTTGTTCAAAACTCATCCAAGAAGTGAAATTTCAAGTCAGAATTAAGTTAAGCTGTTGATTTTTCTTTAAAAGTTTGGCTAGTTGTACCCAAAGAAACAATGCTACCAATGCTCAGTAACACTTTAAATCTATGATCCTAAGTAATGACATTACCTAATTGACCAGCACATATAAAGGAGTCTAATCTATGCCCTGAACAAAAAGGTATGTGGTGTGAAAAAACATTACTTGTTTTGCTGTTTTCTGTCAGATATTTCAAACGGATGTGCACGTGTGTTTGCAAGCGTCTGCCTGTAGAAAACAAAATGAAAAGAAACAAACAGAGAGCGCACACGCAAGGAAGAAAGATTGCATGTTCACAAAACGTTTTGCAAGAGCTCTGGATTTTTGTGGTCTCTAAAGTATAGGGTAAATCTAAAGGGGACTCCTCGTGAGAAAGCACAACAGCAAAACGCTTCTCTTTTGATATTGAACCCGCTTGCCTATATCCTCCTGAGATGCTCCATCATACGTTTCAGAAAAGCCTTGAACACACATGCTGCGAGGTATATGTACATGATGCATGGCACTAAAACAGCACAACGCTCAAATCTGACTAAAACACACTTACAAGCCAAACTAAAATACACACTGCTGTCAAAAATAATCTACGACACCAGCAGATATGTGGTAATTGCAATGTACTGTTACTGAAGCAACAGTGCACCAGAAAAAGGGAAAGACAGGCTACGTTTTCAAACACCATAAGCTGCAACAGATGTGCAGGACAGTCAATATACTATAAACAAATAAAGCCATATGAAGCCAGACGCATAGGCTTTAAATCACAGGATGCCAGTGGTAAAAATGTTTTCCAGATTGGCTTTCTCTAAAGTCCTCAGAAGAATGCACTTGCTGTCTGTGTCAGTTTCCTGCCCGTTGACTAGGGAAGTCACTCAGACACTTTAGCCGAAATGCTGTCACAAAAGGAAGCTGGGCAATTAATGGGAACTGAAGGCGTTCTGACTGTACTTGCACACAAATATTTATTCTTATCTTCAAGTTACAACGATGCAAACGGCAAGAATAAACAGAATAAACCTTAAACATTTGCTATTAATTGTTACAAGAATAGAGAAAAAAAACTCATACATTCAGCTTTTTGCAAGAGTAAAAGAAGCACAAAAGAAGAAATATATTCAGGAAAACAACATCTCACAATAACAAGGTTTGTCCTGCTGCCCTTTGTTTTGAGTAAAAGGTCCATTTTGGGCCTTACAGCCATCTGTCAGGAAGCTGTGATTCATGAGGACTCAAGAAGCAGAAATACTTAACTAGCTAACAGTCTAATTAATGTTTTACTGGGGTGACATGGCCGCTGCCATACAGCTGTGGCTGCTGTAATGGGCACAACACTGTTTTTTCTCTTGGGGTTTTCAGCAAAGCTCATCTTGAGTCCCAGTGAGGAGCCAATTGTCCACCTCAACGCCCCGCTGTTTGGGCTGAATGTTTGGTAGGGGTCTGTGGAGGAGGAGGGGGGGCAACAGGGAGGAAATGGGATGAAGTGTTAGGGGGAAGGAGGAGGCCAAAACAGGGACAGAGGGAATATGGGCACTGGGACTAGTTTCAAATTACAAGACTGTTTCCCAAGAATGTAAGATTTAGCTTTGGTCCAGTTTACTTCTCTCGACTTGCTGTTGTTTCTTGGTCTGAGAGGGGTGGGTCTTTTAACAACTCATTTAGCATACCTTCTCCAGTGGTTCCAGATGTGTAATTTATAGATAGCATGAGAAGTGCTAGCAAATGAGCTTACAAAAGTAAAGCAAAGATTCTCAAGTTGCAAGTGGGGGGGGTTAGGTGCTTTCGGGACTCTGTGGAAGTGTGAAAGGCTTAAGTGGATCCTGTGGTGTCTGGACTACTGGGATGGCTGTTGTTGATTGATGGTCTTGCTGAGTGGTGGGGGTCTTGGGCCACTGAAGTGGATTAATATCATTAGCATAACAGTGGATGGCACCTTTGTTTCGAGTATGAATTTCTGCTCCGTGGTCCGTCCCCTAAGCCTATTATAGACCTGAGTGTCACAGCCTATTGTCAGCTATCACCTTTTATTGTGAGGTGGATTACTGCTGCCATCCAGACAGGGTTCACAGTTCAAGCAGACTTTGTAGCCCAGTGTGAAGACCAGATGAAGTAATGCTCACAGATAGAAACACACACGAACACACACACACATATATATATATATATATGTAAATATATAGGTTTTTTTTAGCAAATGTTCTACAAAGGTCTAGTAAGTCTTCCGTTGAATTCTCACTTGGACTCAAGATGGTTCGTCACTATATACGTACATATATACATGGAGGTATTTAAAGAATGCACTTTTTTTTTTAAATACACAACATCGCAACAAGACCCCATTATCCTCCTTCCCTCCATCTGCCTTATTTCTTCTTCTAAGGGGTGGGGGCACAGAGGAAGGGTTAAAGTAACCAGTGGAAGACGGGGTGTAGGGCTGGGCCTTAGTAAGGGAGGAAGGGGGGTGGCTATATAAAAACTGACAGAACACAAGTGGTGCTTTATCCACCCTGTCCCGCTCTGGGTAAGAGGAAACCCTGAACTGCTTCGGCTCGACCAGCTTTGCCCTTTTCTCTTTCTCTTTCCCTCTCTTTTTCACTCACACCCGTTGGACGTGTGCGCGCTCAGGACCAGAATGGCAGCATCATCTGCACAGAACACACACAGGCCCTGCAAAATGTTAGCTTTCGCTTTGCTTCTCATCACCTCACTCTTCAGTGGTAAGTAGAATACTTAAAAGAGAGTCAATTCTCAGAGATCGTATGACCATCTACTGGGACAGGGAAGGCTGGGGAGGGGTGGGGCCAGGGTGGAGCAGTGTTTGTTTGAATGGCCTTAGAGTTGAATCCAGGTTTTAACCCTACAACCCTTTTACTCTCTGGAATGCTCGCATATTTTAGTTGAATTGAAAACAAATCTATAGCACAGACTTTTTACATTTCAAACAGGGTTGATAAAGACGTGTTTTTACCAAGATCATGGCAGAAAAACATTACTTTTTGGTGTACATTGGCAAACAAAGGGATCGTTTTAAATAGACTGGTTTTCAATTGTGTGGCGGCACATTGAAGTCTTTAATGACAATTTCAAGTGAAGATCTCTGTTTTAAACTTGGGAATTTGCATATTTTGAAAATAATTAGTGGTTTTGGTATCATCTCATTGATTTTTATGTTGTACTTTATTCTTCAGTTTGAACTATTTATGAACCTTCCTCTGATGCTATGCTTGCTATTCCATTGACCTGATTCCCAAGATCTTTCAAGGACTCTGAGAAATGTGTGTATTTATATTTAGCTGGTTGTAATGTGAGGCCAGTGGAAGCATGCGTGAAAGAAGGGTGTGGAGTTTGGTTGTTAATGTGCATTTCAAATGTGGCTGCACTGATGTAGCAAGAGATTTAGCGAGGCATCAGGGATATCTGATGTTGTTTAACTATGCATAAAAACAACATGTGGCTCACATGGCTGGATGTTTATAATGACCAATATAAGAACTTCTGGAATGGAAAACCTCATTTATTGTCAACATTTAAACAATAAAAACATCTGGACGTTCACTTAACACTTACCCAGGGATGTAATACACTCTCTAAGAATCAGTAGCCTTTAGCGCTAGCCAAGACCAAGTCCAAACAGAAAAAATGAAGCACTACTTAAAACTGAGACCAAATAAGGCAATGAACACCACATAAACTTTTCCAAATGTAATAAAACAGTTTCAGTGCTTCTTTTAGCTTTAAGATTTAGATCAGTCTGAAAGTGTGAATAGATACGATTCCAGTTTTATCCTACAAATTTCCTGCAGTGGCAGGAAGAAAAGAAAAGAAAGATGAATCACATGGAGAAAAAATATGCATGAGTTTGTTCAACATCCAATAGTAGTACAAACCAAGTCCAAGATGCCAGAAAAATGGAGCAGAGAATGAACAGCTATACTCTTGTGTGCAGTGCTCTCTGTTGTGGCTGTGAGTGAATCACACACCGCGTTACTTAATTCAAACCTCCTGGCTTGTTCATGGGATGTAGCTTATGGGAATGAGATCATCGGCACTGAGAAGCAGCTACATCTGCCTTGGAAAATAAAACTGCGCTGATATCATTACAGCATATAGATTTCTGAACCAGAGGCAGAAAAACTTTTACTCTGCTCTTGAGGAAAAAAAGAAAATGTCTCTTGATGTGCTCTGCTAACTCAAAGCAACTCAGAACAATTGACACACTGCATCTGGACAAAATGTGTGTCAAGAAAAGATGAAGAGCAATGGAGCAGATAGCACATATTCTACAGATGGAAGGAAAAAAAAGGAAACAAAAATAGAAGACATTTAAGTTTAACCACATTTCAACTACATAATAAAGTATCTGTCTCCTGAGTTAGATAAAATCCTCTCCTGCTGAATTGTCTTACCAACCCAAGAGATGGGAACAGGGCAAAGTTATGTAAGCAGAAGAAAGATGGTCTAACTGTACAACTTTATCCTGAAGACAGAACAAACACACACATGTTGCGTGAGTGTACCGGTTACCCAGACAACCTGGAGGGATGCTGTGCTAGCAGAGGCTGAACGGGCGATGATTAGAAACCTTAACGGGAAACCTCTATTTGGACTGTTAAGCAGACATTTTTCAAAAGTAGTGAGAGGGGTGAGAAGAAGCACTGCACGGAGTATGAAAGATGCTTACACTTGCTTTGTTGTCAGGTATATGATTGAAGTAGTGGTGGAAATTTCAGTTTAAATATCTGAAAACTGTACTTAAAAACAATTTTCATAATAGAGTTTCAGCTCTGCCTGTGCTGTAAAGTGGTTTGAGGAGGCTCTCCAGTTAAGCAATGAACCCTGCCCAACCTCGCTGCCAACCCCAGAGCATGTAATTATGGAAATCATTGTTTGTGTAGCACCCATTGAAGTAACAGATGCACCAAAGAATCACAGAAACAATGTCAACAACAGAGTGCTCCTTCCTCTCATGAAGAAAGCAGCACAGAATGTGCCAAGTCAAATCCCAGTGTCAAGTGAGCCAGTGGTGGCGAGTAGACATCTGGGTGCACACAAAGACACACACACATACAGACACACAGAGACATACACACACACACACTTAAACAGACACAAGATACTCATTCGCTTGGAATAGTGTTTTTCATCCTCTCCTAATAAGAGAAAGCTGCTTTTCCACTCAGCTCTCAGAGGCTTTGCCTTTGAACTTTTTCCAGCCTCTGTGCTTGTGTAGTGTATTCACATACAATAAGCATTCATATGGTATCGCCAAACAAGCTGTTTCATCAAACAAACACAAGGTTGCTGGTGTGCACCTCGATCTACAAATTAGATGAAAGGAAAGAGAAGAGAAGCGAGTGCCTGAATATCAGATTGCAACGCATACAGTAAAAAAATCTTTGAATGCAAGCAATCAATGTTTCAAAAACAGAGAGCAAATCTTCAAACATCAACTAAGTGCACTCTGGTTCAACATCTCGATGGCTTACTGGGCCTTTTTTTCAATACCTCCTAAGGATGTGTGTGCAAGTAATTATGCTGGAAGATTTTTGACAGGTATAGTCTGTCTGAAATTCTTTGCAGACAGAGTAAGTGTAGAACCCCTGGGCCACTGATCCCTCACTCTGCAACAGGATCCCTGAACAATCCTGCATAGTACCTGCTTACACTCAAACCAGACAGGCTCATTCAAGGTAATGCGCAAGGCAGTGAAACTTTAGCGGGCAATTGTGAGTGTGTGAGTTGGGGAGGGGTGGGGTGGGGGAGAGTGATATAATGCTCACAATTGAAAGCAGATGTCATGTTTCCTGATTGTGGTCCCTAGAAACAGGCATCGGGCTCTCGATAAGGAGCTGCAGTGGCCTTGGGGCTGGGCTAGGCGAACGCTGCAGCTGGGCAGCATTGGGTGAAGCAAATGCTGTTTCACTGGCTTGATTGAAACCATAAGATCCAGTTGCTTTTCTGCCATGAGAGAAGAATGGCCTGGGTTCTGCTATTAATCGCTGTGACAGGAGTGACAGGGGAGGGGGCGCTGAGGGGGCACAGCAGGGGGGTTAAGATAGTGGGGTCAGCAGACTGTTGTTTCAAAGAGGGTAGAGTTGCAGAGCATGTTTAACCCTACAGGACCGCACTCCGATGTCACATTCCTCAGCACGCTCTCAACAAATTCGGATTCTTGAAGAGCAGTAGGTTATTAAATCATGAAAACACTCCTTTTGAGATAACAAAACTCTGAATGAATGTTTTTATTCTGGTGGAATTCTGTGTGGAAATAGAGGTAATGAACAAAATGTTGTTCAGCTCCAGAATTTTGGTAGTATATGTAGATAATTTCAACATCTCAGCTTCAGATTAACTTCTTGAGCAACACTGTAAAAAAGTAAACTCAACTTTTATAGTGTTTTTCCTATAAAGTGATCACACCTTCATCCCCTCCTTTTATTTTAAAAATCCATGTTGGTGTGAGTGAGTGAAGCAGAGTTTGTGTGAAAGTGGTGTCATTTTGGATCAAATTTCTATTCAGCTATTCAGCCTCTAAAGAGGTATTTTGCAAATAATTTTATGAATTGGGCAATTATGTTTACAAATAACAATGATTAAGTTACAGTTATTACAATAATTAAGTCATATTTAATTATGACTTTAAAAACATCATGCTTTTGTGACTGATTTATATTGTAGCTGTGATCAACCAAGCATGTGAGTCCCAGAACAGGAAGTGTTAAGGGATTCATCTCTGCTGCCTCTTTCCACGGCCTCTGCTCAATTAACACTGTGGAAGGCATTCAGCATACTGCAAACAGATACAAAGAGAATATTTCAAGGATATAAACCCCGACCCAGTGGAAAAAAAAGGAAGCGATATGTCTTAAACGTTTACAGAAGCTGTCTTGACCCAGCAGACTCTCACGCACTCAGGACGGTTAGGAAATGTAAATTTAGCTTCAAAACCAGCAGAAATACATTTTGGTCAGCGTCAAAGCTGGCAGCTTAAATCAGCGCTGTGGTTCCCTGCACAAATACTACCTAATAGAGTAGCTAACCTATACTGCATGTGGGGGTGCTAGTGGAAGCTCAAACACTGGGACTTTGACACGGTGGTCCACTAATGTGTGCAGACCATTATCACCTCACCATGCCCCATTACAGGGAACTGGGCTCTCCTCGACAGAAGCAGGGAGAGGCCAGGGGCCCCCGGGGACATAATGCCATATTTTCAGACTCAACGTCCCTCCTCAACATGTAGCACATGACTTTCTGGAAGCCAAGCCAGAACTGGAAGCCAAAGCCACAGGAGGGTCGACTCACTGAAAACATCCAACAGCTGGCTCATGCTTCATTTATACCGGCATACCATGGAGGGTGCACTCTGAAACATGTGCAGCGGTTGTGGTTGAATGGGTGCATTTTGTTGATTTAAATGCAAACCCCTCTAATCAGTGAAGTACTCTACTGATATAGTTTAATTTAAGAGGCATGGGAATTGTAAATGCAGATTTACATAAGGAAAAACGTGTCTCCTACCTTTATGTGGAACTTGTGCATGTTGGGCTCATATATACACAGTGAAGCAAATCGTAAGAGACTGAAGACAGGCAAAGCTTTCTAGCTCAGCGGGAGAGAAAGTAGCTTCTGCAATACAAATCTCTGCATGTTGCTTTATGTTACATTATGTGGTATAGGAGGTGTGAAGGGTGAAGCCTGAATCTCACCTCGATGGAGGCCTGGGATTAGTTGTGCGTGACTGGGAGAGGGTGAAGGAGACAGAGGGTTGGGAGAGAGCAGGGCGTGGAGCTCAAAGCTTGTCTTCTTCCAAAGCCTGCCACATTCCTCCATCCAGAGTCCCAAGAGATGGAGGGGGGGGAGCAAATCCAGACCACAGCCGTCATTCACGGCAATCTGGTGGGAAAATCTTCAAGAGCGCAATGAAGTCAGGGCCTGCGTTGAATAACATATGGAGTCTGGGCTGATTAGCTCAGTTTGATTCGTCATGTTTGTACAATGATAGCGAGACACACGACTGATGATTGATATCTTGGCTGCTTTAAATCTTACGCAAAAAGAAGGAATGAAAGACAACTCAGTGTGCGTATTAGTGGCGAGGGTCAGGGGTTGTGAGCACCACAGATGTACCATATGTGTTTGTTGGTGGTGCAGTTCAATAAGGCCTGTGAGTATCACATTTAGCTGTAGCCATTGTTGAGTGGGAGTGTGGCGGATAGAGAGAGGTGGTGATGGGTTCAGAGGTCATGCTGTTAGGAAGCACGCTGACCTCACGTAGGGAGCACGGCTGCAGAAAACTCCAGAGACAGCGACGTATCAATTACGGCACAAAGGTCAAGACTAAAATCTAACCTCAAAATAACAGAAAAGCCACTTGCAGTCCCTCTTTCTTCTACAAACAGTAAACCAATACTATCAAAACAGATGGAATTTTTGGTCATTCTGTAACAAGCATTAGAAACATTAAGTGAAATCCTGAAATCAGATTTACTTGAAGCTTTTAGGTATGTAGTCAAAACAATACAATAAAAGGTAGTCACTCAAATCCTACTGTTTCGGTAAATGTTGATCATAAGATGCAATTTTATGCAGAGGTTTCATTCCATCTGGTTTCTGCTCTGCCGGGAAAGTTTGTTTGTGTGTAATGAGTGATGGCTGGTCAGAGTTTACTGGCTGTGCTGGCAGCGTTGCGAAAAAGAAAAAAAAAGAGGCCTTATGTTATTGTGCCTGAAGCTAAACAAGCTTGTTTTGCTTCATGAAAATGTGGCAGCACAGTTTTACAAGTGAGCTTGAGGTGCTATGACATCATGAACACATTCTAGTAAAACATAGTTGATTTGTACAGTATGGGTTTAAAATCCTCTTTAATCCAGCAAACTCAGACATTGTATTAAAACACTGCCAACTTTGACGTGGCTATAAAAGAGGTGCAAATTAATGTGCAGTCATTCACCACAAGATCCCTACAAAAAGGCACTAGAGATGGCCTCAATCCCCCAAACATATCAGCCACAGTGTAAATCTTTAGTGACAGAGTTTTACCCTCTAGTCCACTACAACTCACCCAGTGACAGAAGGTGATCACAAAGCTAAAACAGCATGTTTCAGCCTCGCTTCTCTGGCACTCCTGTGTGTCACTGTTGTATGAGAAAACCTAATTTATGTCGGACCATCTCACCCATTCTGAACCTCATCCTTTCCATTAAAATAAACAGACAGACCACCCAGAGATGGAGCAGGGGTGGCAGCTGTAGACTCCAAGTTAGGAAAAAGGTCTAAAAGACATATTTAGCAAGGGAAGGAGGATCCTGAACTGTTGCTGGTCCTCACCCACAAGCTCCTCATAGGAAATGAGAGACACCAAGTATAATAAAAATGGGGCACTACATTTGGCAGCATTCCTGCTTCATAGTGAAACTTGAGTATGACTACAATACAGACTTCATTGTAGATTTGCAAGAGCACAGAAGCTACAAATCTGTCCAGAGACTCTGATGTGTTTTCTCCTTCAATTAAAACAGTGTCAAAGTGTAGCAGAGATACTGTATGACAGCTGCATCGGATGGTTGCAAACACTAAACATGCCAGAGGACCTCCTTGGAGATTACTGCCCCACCTGCTAGCTCAGCACACTACAGTGTTTGCTCTGTACTCGTGGCACCTGTCTGTCACAATGATTTATCCAAGAAGTCGGTGGACATGTGTCACAGTGCCACCACTGTGTCAATGTGTGTGCTTCACACGTGAAAACCTCAAGTGGTGTCGACAGATAGAGAAACAGCTCCATGAGGAGACAGTAACAATCCACAACAATCCAGAAAAACAATCGGCAATGTCGAGCAGAATTAGGTTTTAAAAGCTAAAAACACAATTGCAACTTCAATTAAATCACATTTTTCATAGCATTTCTGTATTATATATTAATGAAATTAAACACACAGATCACTGAAAGTCTGAAAAAAAAGTGCAAATATTTTGATGTTGTATATTGAAACATAAGAGTCAACCAAGCTAAAAAAAATAAATAAATAAATTTAGAAGAAGGTCAGTTTAAAACCACACAATATCCTCAATCTTATCTATTACATGCAATATATGGTAAAAACGATATTTAAATGTTCACAAATGTAATGGCATATTTTACACTAATGAGTCACAGTCACATATGTTCAAACTGAAAACAGCAGCAGTTTAATTTCTTCTTAAAGTAAACAAGGGCATGAGTGGCAGTAAAATGTAGCTCAGGGGGCAGTACAGCATTTAAAAGCCTGAAATCAATCACAAACTTAATCTGGGTACTAGGAAGGGAATGACATAGCAAGAGAGGGTAGAAGTAATGAGATCTGCAGAGGCAAGGCATTATGGGAAGGTTTTAAGAGTGAGGTAATGCTGTTGTTGTTAGACAAGAGAGAAGGAGATCTGGGGGAAAGGAATGAATGCTGGGTATTCTGCTTTCACTTTCTCGATCACATTCCTGCAATTTGACCTGAACCAATTAAAGCAACGAAGACCTGAGGTTCATTAAGGTAGAAACTGCAAAGTGTGATATCCTATTTTATTAATCAGTTCAGATAAAAAGTCATCCAGGTTGTTACAGTTGAAATAATGAGCAGCTGAAAGAAACCTCACAACAAACACCCAATTCTTTGAGTTAGTGTTGAAAATGATCAAGGACTTTTACTCCAAAGTCATACAACTTCCTGAAAATGAACAATGGTATGATGACCTATTACATAACTCCAAAATTTGGAAAAAGTTGTATTATGTTTTCAATGGCATCATTACCTGGCACCTTTCAGCAGTACGTTTAATCAGGGCATTCAGCAGTTTAACAGAGTTGATGGAAAAATCTTTCCGCTCACATTTATATATTTCAGAAAGGCATTTTGTGTATCCCATTTTTTTCGTCTAACTCAGAGTGACTCTCCGTAACCACAAGGCCTGCTGTAAAGCCTTGGAGTGAGAAAGATTGCATTTCAAAGTAAATGGCTTTATGACGTGATCCGTGGATCTGAGAGCTTCAGTTATCTACTGCAATAAGATCTATTACCCAATCTTCCATCGCTGCAGAGGCCTCTGGGGACACAAAGGAGTCATACTGCCAGCACACCGAGGAGGTCTCATGCAAGAGTTCATGCATTAGGATGATAACTGACATTAAGATAGCACACTGTTGAAAACTGCAGACCATCCAAGCTATACAGTAAGGCGCTACCTCACATTAAGACTTCAGTAACAGCTCCATTATTATCAACTTTATTACCTCAGCTACATAAATATATTGACCTGATGTAGGTTAAGGCCTCAAGTTTCTTCTACGTAGCTGGACTGAACTGAAAAGCACTAGGCAAGATGCTTTCTTTAAAACATATTTATCACTCTGTATCAACAAATGGCAACAGCATGAGTTTCTGCCACAAAATGCCCCCAAGGGCACATCTGACAATGTGGTATTAGGTATAAATACCTCAAGCAGTGAAAATGACCATAGCAGCAAAAAGAAAAAAAGAAAACTTTCCTTCATAAAGCAGCAATTTGATCACTGTGTGTCCACATTGGTAAATGTGAGCCTACTGTAGGATTTATAAAAGAATGTGACAAAGTTTTCTTGCTGATTTGATTATATCTATGTTAATTCGGACCTTTATGGTGATGTATTCTGATCTTACAGCAGGAGTCATGGCACAGGAGGATGAGGTTGTTGCAGCCACAGTGCCACTTGTGGACGCATATATACGAGGAGACATGATTCCATTGACGACCGCAGTTCCAGGTAAGAAACACTTACAAGTAAAAAAATCTATCTAAATGTTTTGGAGGTTTACTTTTCAGATTGACTAACCAATGTGAATAATGGGCTCACTGATGGGAAAAATAAACGCCCTGTCCCTTGTGATCTAGGGAAAATTAGGTCAATAAAAATACAAACAAATATCTGCTTGTGTGCTCTAAAAAGCACTTGCACAAAGTCACTACAACTAAGTTATTGTCCAACCTTGTCCCTACCAAAAGACATCATGTGCTTACCACCACTGGAATTCGTGATTGATCCACACCATAAAATGTAATATCGACATTAACAAAAGACAAATACCAAGATGAAGAAAAAATTCTACTACTGTGTTGCAAAAGCCTGATAAAGTTGATCCTATTAGCATGTGTACCACAATATATCTACAGTTAAAGTGCAGCTAAGCCCCTGGGCTGAAGACATTGTTGTAGCTGAAATACCATAAACTTCTTTTCAGAATGAACTGTTACTAACCTCAGATAATGTCGTAAAAAACACAGCATATCAACTTTGAAACAAAACTTCAAAATGCGTAAATTATCGGCCAAGTATATGACTTTCTTCTCCTAATATCTAACAAGTTAACCATCTAAGTTGAATTGCTTTTTCAGAGACAGAGGACCCACAAGGTCAAATCCTGGTTCTCCCTACTATGGAATCTCTCGAGCCTACTGAACAGACTACAGCAGCAGCAGCAACAAAGGCAGCAGGAGACAATGACAACGACAGGCCTGCAACTCCAGAGGAAGTAGGTGATGAAGGAATTGAATTCACAGTTAATGTGCTGACTGAAAACCCTGAAATCGTGGAACCAGAGACCCCAGCACCTATTCCTTCTAGAGGCGACGGCCCTGGTGACAAAAAACAGGTAAGATAACAGAGAGCCTTCACATTACTCGGTCTGTCATAAAACAATATAAATATATGGATATTGTTTTTCAAATATGCAAACTGTAGGAATACATTGTGATATCTGTGGACAGAAATATGTTAATGGATGCAACAAGAAAATGTCATCAATAAAATATAGGATTACTATCACCTTTAATACCAGTGGTAGTACCGAGTATTGAGGCACACTTTTTTGTGCATCAAATTTTCAAATGACAATGAGACATGACCCTATTTGCAAATGATGAATGGTTGTGTTTTTTGCATAAGAACATTAGGCTGCATTTTTATACTACTGAGAACCTCGCATCTACAAGCCACATTTACTTTACATTTGTACATTTGTTTACAAATGCTATGCTCACAGCCAAAACTGGATAAAAATTTGTTGTGTATGAATAATTGATCTCAGTTCCAAAGCCAGTGGGATCTTGATTTTCTTTTGTTTTTCTAAGACTGTCAGACAAATCCATTATTAATCAAAGTATGCTGTGCTGTAAGTACAAATCTTGATTTCCTCGAAAGAAAATCAATAAATGATGGTAAATCAATGTCAGCAAAATGATTGAAAAGACTGTTTTTAAGGTTTTCCAGTCAGTTTTCAATTACATCACAGCACTGACACTGCATGACAACACAGACAGTGGGAAAGTCTCAGTCTAGTTATTAGATTCCAGTGTGGCATTTGACATACTTGACCACAATTTATTAGCGGAAAGACTGAAAAACTGAGTGGGACTCTCAGGCACTGTGCTAAACTGGTTTGAATCATATTTGAAAGACAGACTACTTTGTGTCAGTAAATACACATATGAGCATACAAAAATGACATATGGAGTTCCTCAAGGCTCCATTCTTAGGCCTCTATTGTTCAATGTTAACATGCCCCTCCTGCTTGCTCAGACTGTAGAAAACAGACTTATAACAATTATGCAGGTAATTTAAAACAATATCACAAGGTGAGTGTGATCCCATAGAGGCAATAAGTAGGTAGACAAAACAAATTGGTTGGCAAATGTGGCAAAATTTCATCCACTTCAATAAATAATAATAATAATAATAATAATAATAATAATAATAATAACAACATTGAAATAATTCTTGGTACTGTGGAGCTAAAAAAAAAAAAAAAAGTTCAGCCAACCAAGCCAACACACTATAGTAAAGTCAGTCTACTATTGCCTGAATGTATCAAAAATTTAGGAAATCCATGCACAAATCCTAAGTAACCTTGGCTACTGTAATGTAATAAAATGTGAATGAGATAGAGGCACAATTCAGAACACTGCTGCCAGAATCCTCACCAAGACCAAGTCAGTGGACCACATCAGTCCAGTTACCAGGCTGTTACAGTTGCTTCCTGTCTGTTTCACTGTTCAAAAAGCACTGAATGTTTTAAGACTGATATACATTACTGAGCTGCTGCTTCATTATGAACCATCCAGACATCTCAAACCATCATGGAGATGTTTTATTACAATCCCCAGGGTTAAAACTAAACATAGAGAAGCAACATTCAGTTTTTAGGCTCCACATATCTGGAATAAAACTCCCAGAAAACGTAATGTCTGCTCTACCTTGCATTTCATAAAGTTAAACTTCCGACAATTTATTCAGACCTTGCACTGCACTTCAAATTTAAATATCCTGTTTAATCTGCTTTACTCTATTTTATCTTTAGATTATCCCTTTAAATCCTATCTATGTGTCTTTAAAATGGTCTTGTGTTATTTTCTTAATGCCTTTTATGTTTTATGTATGCTATAAAAAAGCATAAAATAAAAGTACGTGTTTATACTAGAAGGAGCAATTTAGAGCCATTCACCTTAAAAAGTCTGTCAAGTCATATAAATCACGTATTTTATCATGTTAAAGGCAGCAGCCACAAACCTAAATCATTGAATCATTGAATCTTAATAATTCCTTACAACTAACTGAAACCATACAGCAGTAATGAGCCTAATGGTAAGAAAGGGATGTCACAAGTACATGAAGGAGTTTTGGTTTCTCTTCCCAGCCAGTGTCGGTGCAGGATGATGTCGTCTGTGTGAGCAAAGAGGCTGTCCAGGACAAAAACGCTGTCAGTCTAAAACTCAAGGCATCCTCCAACTGCGTAAGTTCTGAAAATATTTCCTTCTGTTTCTTATGTATCTGCTTGATTTACAATGAAATCGTTTTGAAGGTAGAACAAAAAGAAGGATGCTCAGAGGTGAAATTGAAGATACGATACAGCAGAGATGAAAGCAAAGAATCCTAAAAAGGACCACATCATTTTGCAGACGTTGAAAATATTCCTGCACATTCAAAAAACAACCAATTGCACTAGAAAAGAAAACAGCCAAGGCCTTGGTTTGCTCGTCATTCCCAGTGGTCTGCCAGCTTTTTAAACGTGAACTCAGTAAGAAATTCTTCCTCATTTCAGCTGCAGTAACTTAAATGAAGGCAGCAAATTAATGAAGCCAGAGAAAAACTGTGTCCATCCATCCTTATCGATGTCTACTTCTTAGGTGGGAAGGAAAGTCAAAGAGATTTTTGTAGTATGAAACCCAGAGTATGGATTGCAGTGTGAGGGCAAAGGGGGGAGCACAATGGGTGGGCTCAAAGCTGCTGTAGAATGTATAATGTATAGAGACCTGGAGCAGCAGCAGCAGTGTGTGTGTGCGCGTGTGTGTGTGTGTGTGTGTGTGTGTGTGTGTGTGTGTGTTTCTGTTTAGAAATATAAATTCTTCAGTGTCTCAAAGGTGTTATCTTCGAGGTCTACAGAAATCTCAGCTTCTGTGTGGAGGTCTGAGCCCCACAAGATTTCAGGTAGCCACAGCTCTCATAAAGCCTAAAGCAGTAAATGTATTTACATTAAACAATGAATAAACAGCTGTAACCAGTTAAACAACATGGGTACTTGCACACAAAAGACATCAATGAAATATACCAGCTTTCCTTTATCTTTTCTGATTAATTAATTAATTAATTAACCATTAACCAAGAGGCATTTTGTAAATTGAACTGCTTAATGTCTGTGTAAAATGATCAAAGATCGGCAGCATAATTGATAGTCACACAGGTTTATAGAGGACTAAACTGACACCTAAAATGAACCCTGCTTCAACTCAGGGAATCAACACTGCTCAAGAGAGAAGACTCAAACATTCTGGAGGCGTTGGTCTCTCTGTTATTTAAAGAGTAGATTATTTCAGTAATGGTATGTGGAATTCCTGATTTCCTAAATATATCAAAGGGTGATGGAACTATAAATAAGGTGTTGGTGATATCTCACATGAAGCTATGTAATGGAAATGCTCACCAAGTTTATTGCAAAGCATTCTGCTGCCATGACAGGGAAAATATAACCAAAATCCAGGTATCTGACACACTTCTGGCACTGCCCCCTGCCCATAAATGCACAGTCTTGTAAGAAAGCCATCTGTGCACTCCTGAACTGGCATCAAGGGCTCCTAGAGTGTGGTAGTTTCTGATGTTTGGATCAGATTACATAAGGAAAAAAGGTAGTATGCAGAGCTGTGATAACCCTGATTGGATTTTTTAAAAAAGGGGGGGGAAAAAAGATAAAAAAAGATGAAGCAACTGAAGGTGAAGGGATTAGAGGAGGAGAGGAAGATTGAAGGCGATATTGAAGGCAATTTAGGTTTTAATTAAACTGCTCAGATGCTGAAATGATTTTTTTCCCCCCCAATATTAATAGTTTTGGTCTTTTTGCAGAAAAACACAAAAGTGAAGATTGAAAGTGTTCTGCAGGAGCTGTGTGGGGAAGACTGTAAACTAGAGATTTACCAGGAAGACAACACAGATGAAATCCTTGTGTCTGGGAAGTATGTTGAAGGTCAGTAGTATTTTTGTGGTAATTAAAATGATAAAAGAGCTCACTGCTACACCTCATATGCCTGCAGGTGATATCAAGTGTTTTAGCCTCTGATGAGCAGCCTTGTTATGCCTGCTTTTTACTTTTCTGTAAGCAGTAGTTTACTTCCTGTTAAAACCACATTAATATCATCTCCATTGTACCAAACTTTAAAAAAATGCTGATTTGCTTTATGCTAGGGTCTCTTTTTCACCACTACGGCACCTTATAATTAAGAAGCACCTTGTGATAGTTAAAACACAAACTAAAACTTTATTTCTTGTTCCTATTTGCAGATGATGTGGCAGGCATGGCCAACAAGTTCAACAATGACAACATTAAAGACAAGGTAAAATGTAATTTATAACATATTGCAGAATGCTCTACATATTTATATCTATCTTATCCCTATAATACAGTTATATATATATATTTTGAGTTCAGTTGAATACAGTGGAGTCATGATTAAGTGCGTGACTGTGGTTTTCCAAACTGCCCATATTGAGCCAACATTGGAAATCACACAATGCACCAAGAAGGGCCTGTAAAACACAACCTAAAAGTTGCATCGACTCAGCCAGCTAAATTTTCTGGTTGAGTCACAATCAAATTTGATGGGAAAATACACTGGGGAGAAGAAAAACACTCCCTGAGTTTGCAGACTTTTTCAAAGGCTTCAAGCTGCCAGGCTGGCAGTCAGTGTGACAAACAAAAAGCCCACAAACAACCCACTTGTCAGCTGCAAAACATTTTTTCTAATACCTAGGGAACAATATCGGGTTATGGGTGTGCCTGTCACACCCAGCTGTCTCTTTGCGTTCAACATACTCTATCTTTTTCCTCCCTTCACCGCCATATGCTGAGTGACCTTATTAGCAATTTACCGGTTTTCCGACACAGTCACTCTTCATTATTCTGTCTATAGTCTGCTTACTGGCATTGTTTTTGTTTTTGTTTTGACTCGGCCTTGAAGTCGAGTGATATACTGTCAATACTGTAGGTACATTTTCGTAAACAAAGATTTTTGGGTGGGGTTGTTTTTCCCCTCAAACTTTCGGTTACGTTAGACGAGACCACAGTGACTGGATAGTGAAGGTCTTCTTGTGTCAGCAAAACAACTGCACATATTCAAAACACAATGCATCAAGTCTAATTTCTTCATGGAGGTCTGTTACAGTCAGTTTAGAAATACTGTAATTTTGACTTGGTTCAGACACACAAAAACTTGATTTTGTTCGCATTTGTGCCATTAGACGGACGTGGAGGAGGCTGTTCCTCGCTGGGGCAGGAACTCTAAGTTGGTGCTGGTTTCCTTGCTGCTGACTGGCCTGTTGTTGGCTGCCCTACTGGTAGCCGGTTATTACCTCAAGACGCATCGCAAGAACTCCAAAGGAGTCAGACTGGTGAGTAGATTGGAGGTGTCACTCCATTAATGTCAAATAAAACAAAAATCTGTAGTTGTAGAAACTTCAGGGAACAGTATGACATACAATTTTCTTTTTAAGAGCACACATCAAATGTTTTATATTAGAAAAAAATAATCTGACCAAGACCCTGACTACCTTAATAGACAGTTCATCTGGAAAAAGGCTGGCAAACAGTTGTACTGCCCTAACCTGAGGTACTGTGGCCCCTCAAGATCCAGTTCACTGAGGAAATTGTACACAGCGACTGTTTATTTGAGAGAAAAGCAAAAAGAAGGGAAAAAAAAACCTACATATGGATTTGCGGTCAGATGTATGGTTATCCTCCAGTCAATCCCCGACTCAAGGGAGGACATGCTTGACTCATATGTCTAATAACTTAAAGCAGCATTAGGTCCTTTCTGCTTTTTCTACTCTAACCCCTTTGCCAGGGGGGCCACACATGGTTTTAGTTTTTCGATGAAAGTTCATGACATCATTCCTTAAAGCATTTACATATGCTGACACGCCCGTGTGATGGTTTAGAATAACAGCGTGTTGAATCATGCTGTATTCATTTAATAGATTCAGTTGGAATCATTTAAAAAGTCTTTGCTGGCAGATGGGGCCCCTCACCAAACTTTGCTTACTTTCACAAACAAAGAGTTCAAACGGCATTTTCACCTAGAAGCACAGTGAAACAACAAGTGTGCCTGCATATTGTTAAGGGTTCGACAGTGAAACAAGTACCAACACCCTACTGAGTGCACACACAGCTGCAGCCCATAAACCTTATTAACAAAGAATGCATTTGTTTATTTTTCAAACAACGCCCACCAAAATAAATCCATTTTCAAGTACGCACTTTCTTACTAGCTTGTCTGTCATATTTGAACATTAAAAACCTATGTAGTCTGTGTTAAGCTTCTCCCAATACAATGTAAGCTCTGATCTGAAGTCTTGGCTCTGTGCTTTCCCCAGGCCGAGTCTTTCCAGGTGGATGAGGAGAACCAGGCCAATACCCTGGTGTCTGTGGCCCCCCTGCCCCAGGAGCCTCTTGACAAGCCCACTGTTAATGGAGAGTCTCCACCAGAAAACGGGACCAACCCCACCCCCACTACTAATGGACACTCTGCCACCCAGACCCCAGTGGCTGACACGGAGATGTGAATCATGACACCTTCGACCTCCAATCTCCTGTTCTACCAATCACCCACTACCCACTCACCCCTCTCTGCTACCACAGTGTCAAAAACACTGAGACAAATCCGAGCTGAATCTGTCACATACATCCCCCACCCCCCCCTCACCCTGCAGCTCTCCGGATGATGACAACAATGATGAAGCCCATGCTGACAATATGATGACAATGATGACAGTGCCTGTAATGTGAAAAGTTTGCGAACACTTACCTTTTGCTGGTGTCAAGTGGAGCCTGCATACGCTGTTTGGGACTGAGACCGGCTGACAGGGATTTGTTAGCAGTTCTGACTTCAGTCTAGTTGTAACAGTCTTTGTAGAATCATCAAATAATGCCAAATATGTTCTGTTGATCCCTGAAGAAGCAGCAGAGAATGCTCTGTTATTTGAATCCAAAACTGCGGGGCAATGAAACCAATGAAGCCAGGCAGTTGAACGTTAACTAATTTTTGTACTGTTGTAAAAAGGACTGACACTCACTGCTTTCTTTCTTCTTTTTTTGTCTGCCTCTGTATTTGTCTGAAAGTGAATGAAGGATGCATCAAGTTCAAATTTACTGAAAGTTGCCTACTTTTTCTCATATATAATTGTCACACTGTAATTACATAAAAAAAGAAAGCTGCCATATTTTCTTGGTATCATTGCTGGTGTTCATCACAGAAACTAGGAGATCTGCTGACTAAGTATTCATAAACAAAATTGTTAAATAAAAAGCAACAAGTAGGATCTCTAGTTTCACTACGGACCGAAACAATGCTACCGAGGTTTTATAATGTATCACCTGAAAACTATGTAATTGCCTCAATGCTTTCAACTTTAGCCTACTGAACAACCAAACCTCTGTAACTGACCTCAGGTCAATGTTTAATTGGATCAGGTTGCGAAGTACATTTCTATTTTTGTGTTTTTTTTAAAACATATTTTGTACAGTTTTTTTTTTTTTAACAAATGCTAGTTTTCCTACTCTTATCACTGTCTTAGGGAATGGTAAAGCCAAAAAAAAAATCACTGCCATGAAATTCCTTCGTAGCCCACAGCAGGTTCAGCATTCCCAAGACTGCCTTTATGTCCTTGTTGATATGAAACTTTCTTTTTTTACATCTGTGGTACACATGTTTTGCTTCTCTTTTAAACAACTGGCTGCTTTCATAATGTACTGCATGTGTAAATAAGCTTACTTTCTGTTATTCGTACCTGTGCCTGATTCATAAACTGTGACTGTTGACAATATCTTGTTATCCAGATTGTCTTAAGCTCACTTGTGTTGTGCTGACTTGATCAGAAATCAAACAGTTTTTCCAGTAAAATACTTTTTTCACTTTATAAAATGCTTTGCTTTACTCAGAAAACCAATCAAAAACCAAGGCAAGGGCATTGCACTGACTTACATTCAGTTCATGGAGACTTGCCTCAACCATAACTCCTATTTGCCAGACTCTAACCTTAACCCAAACCTTAAACCGAGTCTTTTTCACACCAGCATGTATTGATGTAATTTATAGCAGCTTGTTTTTTGTGCCAAAATGGAAATCGACTCCCCACAGCGACAATGTCAACAGATTTGTGTCTCCACAATATGTGCACTACAACACACGCAGACAGCAGCATTTAAAGACACATTTGTCTGTATGAAATGATAAAATTAGTTGCAGCTTAGGGACTTACATACAAATGCAGCTGTGAATGGCATAAACAGCCTTCAGGTGGAATAACATAGAGGTTCAACTATGAATGGTACAGCAAAGCGTAGGACTGTAGCTGCACAGTATATCCAAAATCTGTGGTCTCCTGGAGTTAACCCAGCCACTAGGCTAAGTTTTAAAACACTATTTTTGTACTGAAGCAATATATTCCCAGACCAGGTTTAGATACCCCTTCATCTACTGGATGTGGATGGAAGAAACAGGAGCAAAGCAATCTCAGAAAACCACTGATCTGTTACAGAATGTGTTGTCTACCACCTAACTATACTGTAGTAAAGTACCAACCCTAAACAACCAAGCAAAAGAAACTATGTCTCTAGATCAAAAACGGACACATCCTATGACACCAAGCAGTAGGCTCCTGATTCTCAGAAGTCTAATGATCTAAAATGTAATGTATTGCAAGAAAAGTTGTCTTGATTTGATCTGGACCAAAGGCAATGAAACATTAAATGAGCACTTTTTAAAATTAGACACTTGTACTTGAACATCACTCTGACAATGAAATTATTATGTGAAGCAAAAGTTAAAGAACATTTGAAAGAATAATGAAAACTTTCTTTGTCCTCTATGATTATATGGCTAGATTATGCAAGTTTCTCAGACATAGCATCCATTGAAATGCAAATCAATATTTTGACTAAGGCAGAGCAGAACATTGCCTGCAGAACTAAACCCCAAGTTTGAATTTTCATAGCAAAAAAGTTAATTTGGTATTCAAAACATAGCATTAGCAACGTGCTTCAGTAAAGCCAGAGGAGTAATAGCGATTCCTGAGTTGCATGTACAGCCCAGTGAGAAGACACGCTCCTTTAAACACACTATTTTAAATATTTATCAAGCTCAATAACATTTAACATTATTTTTAAGCTTGTGCAAATTTCGATTATACTCTCTGAACAGTTTATGGAAAATGGATACAATTTTGGATTCTTAGTGACAATAAAAATGTACACACATTTCCAGTTGAGACCAGAACCCTTTAATGAGAAGAGTTTCAACTCAGTACTGCGCATCATATAGAGTATATTCAGATGAATCAAATAGAAATTCCTGAGCTGGTAAATAATACCAGAATTTCAGAAAAATCCAGAAAAATGCCCCCATTTTAGTGTTAAAGCCAAATGTCTTTAGCATTATTTGGTCTAAATGGGAAAGACAGATGATTAGAAATATTTGGAAGAAAAAAAAATCAAGATAGTCTGCAGTCAGTACTTTGCATTGGCCTTACTTGTGAACATGTGAATGCTCTCAATTACAAACAGCACACCTGCACATGCCCTTCTGTGTATTTTCATAACAGCACATGATGCGCTGTGATTGGGTGCTTGCTGCTCCTTCATGTCTACAAAAGACACTTGACAAGGTGAGGAAACTCCACTAAAGGGAACCTTGACATCAGCTCAATATGGAGAAAACTGCTCTCAGATTTCTTATTCTCACAGTTCTCTTCCAGGTGGCCCTCTGTGCTTTCATTGGGCTCAATGTTTATGTCGACCAAAAAAGGACTTGGTCAGAGGCTAGACAACACTGCAGAGAGCATTACACTGACCTGGCTTCATTCAACACCCAGGAGGAAGTCACAGCACTTCTTGCACTAGCAGAAAAAGGGGTAGTAGATCAAGATGAAGATGAAGACAATGATGAAGATGAAGACAGCGATGAAGACAATGACGAAGACAAAGGCAAAGAAAAGGACAATGACAAAGCACAGCAGGAGGATAAGGGGCTGTTTGATACGTGGGTCGGTCTCTACAAGAATACTGATGACACTTGGAAGTGGTCAGGAGGGAAAAATGTATCGCTCTACTACTGGCCAAAATTGCCACACAAAAAAAAAACATGTTTGGCAATAAACGCTACACACTTGAAGGCAAAGAAATGTGAGACAACCAAATTCCCCTTCTGGTGCTTTCAGAGCCACCTTGTTTTGGTGAAAGAAAACAAGACCTGGGAGGAGGCGATGGAGCACTGTCACCACCTGGACAAAGAACTGCTAAGCCTGCCCTCTGAAACTGCTCTGGTTCAAGCCCTGCAGACTAGCAGGATAGCGCAGACAGACCGTGTGTGGATCGGCCTGCGCTACCTGGCTCACACTTGGCTGTGGATGGACGGCTCCACTGTGGAGGACATGGCCTGGAGCCAAGGGGCAACACCACAGTGCCCCGCCTGGAGTCACCACTGTGGGGCACTCTCACCCGGGGCAGGACAGTTGGACAGCTGGGACTGTGCAGACAAGTTTAACTTTCTCTGCTATTCAAATGTAAATTTCCTGTAAAATACTGTGCAATGAGGGGTGACTTCTATTTGCCACAAAGTGATGGTGTCGTTTGCTAAGTTATATACTGTGTGTATGTTTATATGTAGCACCACATATGGAATAGTATGATGTGGTATAAAATCCACATCTGTGCTGCATTATTTATCCATGTCTTTACAATCACATAAAGTACTGAAACTAGTGCGAAGGGATTTTAATAGAAGTGTTACCCATATCACAGATGAATTAAATAATAGAAATAATCAGTTTCCTTTATTCTGGACCCTTCTTTTCTGATTTTGCTATGTAAATATCTTTCCAAAGGTATTCACCTGGATTAATTCACTTATACTGAGTGAAAATAGTTATGAAATACTCACAAAAGCCAACTGGTGTGTGTTTTTACTTTAAATTAAGCACAAATAAACATTCTAAATAAAACAAATTTAAAAAAAAAACAAACACCTGCAGAGTGGTTCACTCACTGATATGACACCTATGGTGAATTATTTAGTCTGGTATACTATCACATAATATCCCTTATACAGCATGTCTCGCCAGTATTTCCAAGGCAACATACGGATCTTGGTAATGTAAAAAAAATAATCAGACTTAACCTGAGTCATTGTCTCTTCTCTCTGTTGCCATTTGGAAGGTGCTACAATACCTTGAGAGCTCGCGCTACCAGGTTACAAACAATCTTTAGTAAAGAGCAATCACAGAACTGACCTCTAAGAAGCACTGCTCCGCTACAGGATTAACTGTTTCTATTATCTGCAAACATCTCACAATGTGTAATAACTTGACAGACATTACAGTCTTTATACTTTACATTTTCCAGATTTCCAAGACTAGCTTTACATGTTATTCTCATTGTTTTTTTAATACTTCAAATGTGTCACTTTAAAAAAAACTACATGCAATGACAATGAAGCTATTCTGTTACATTACATTATAGTTCAAATAGAGAATAGTTGGTGTGAACTATGTACTTCAACAACAAAAAAAAGTACCAGCAACACAGAACTGTTGCACTGCTGTTACTATCAGTAATATAATATGTCCAGTGCTAATGCCAGCGAGTGTTTTGGGACAGAAAAGCAATGACCTTTTTGGCTCCTGATCGTCATGAAGATTCAGTCACACAACACATGGCCACAAGGTCACTTGTCACTCTGGGTGGGGGATACTCTGGAGAGGGACCACGCATGTGTAAAAAGCCTGACTTTTTTTTTTTTTTTTTGGAATTTGTTTGTGTGCAGTTGATGCAGCAAATTAACCACTACTGTCATTTCAGCTGATGTGACCTTTATCAGCCCTTGTTGTTACACTCTGACAGCCTATACATGTCTGCTGTTATGGTTCACCTACCAAGCCTGCTGGGCATGAGGCTGCCACTGTCTGTGCAGCTGCTGTAAAGCTGAATGGGTGCAAAGGTCAGCGTGGTGTTTGCTGGTTGCAGATCAGCGGTGACACCGAACAAGGTCGTATCAGTCTGTCACTGCAAATACCCAAACAAGTAAAATGTCAAAGCTTTGACATGAGCACTACCATTTCACTTACAATCAGACATATAGTTTCTCTCTCTCTCTTTATGTGTGTGTGTTGTGCAACATTTCCCATCAACATAATCAGAAACAGTTGACTGCATAGAAAAACAACCTGAGCAGACAGCCCTTACGGATTTCCCTGCACAGTCAGTACTGTGTCTCCATCTACTGAGCATCTCTTGTCATACCAGCTGTGAAGTTGCTGCTAAACAACAGGGACAAGATGTTTCCCTACCAGTCCCAGAGAGGCTGAGCTGATTTCAAAGTACTGTCATGCAGTGCTGTTTTGTACATAAAAACGTGGCCTAACGACACTTTTACTGTTTAGCTAGCTGCTTTTGTTTTGTTTTTTTATCATAGTGTTGCCACGTGACTATTGTAAAAACATGTGTGAACGTGTTCTCTTTACAAAGGTTTCGTATTTTTGCCATTTTATCGTCACCACAATGAGGTATTACTAATATATTCTTATTGAACACCTACTTGACAGGCTGGGGGCGTCCGGGGGGAAAAGTGTGCTCTCTTTTTTTTTTTGTTAATGACTTAATTATAGTCTCACCTGCTACGTGATGTCCCGCCAAAGCATGAATGACGTAACGCGGAAAAATACCGTAAAGGGTAGTACAGTAGCGCACGGAGTGACGTCATTACCGTAAATTAAACTGTAAACGCAACGAGAACTACTCAATCTGTGACTTGTATTGCCAGTATCAGAATTTAAATAGATTTTTTAGTGACATGAGTTCATTTGCAGTTTTTTTTTCTTTGATTCACAAAATCAGTCAACAAACTGCCATGTTTTTCATTGTAATAACCTCAATAAAACTAAATACATTCACCTATTATAAATAACTGTAAATTAAACACGTGAGCAGGCATATTTCTGAATGCCTATAATGTCACTTCAGATATATTAAAATGCACCCATATGGTTAAGCCAAACTCCATTCAGAAAGCCTCCACTTACTCTTCTGAGCCAATATTTGAGTGTTACACTGCCATCTATTGTAACACACACAGCATTGCAACTTAGATTTTGTTTTGTTTTGTTTTGGGTTTTTTTTTTTTTTGCCTTGTCACTTTACAAATTGAATCTATATGAAAAACATTTCCGACGGGACCCCTTGCAAACAATACCTAATCCTGTAGACTTAATGAATATATTAGACAAATATAAAGACAAACATCCTGCACTGTGGGTGCCATGACACTTGATAGGGCTTCCGTGTGTGGCAATGAAGCATTTTTGTAAAATTATTTTTGACCTTTATCTAATTAAAGCTCAAAAAGCCATTACTAAATAGAACAGTGGTTCCCAACCTTTTTGGCTTGTGACCCATTTAAAGTAAAGCAATTATTTGAGACCCCTAAGGTGTTATGGAAATCTTACACAGAAGTGTTTTTGGTGTTTAAAAAAAATAAAATAAAATTTGAGGGGGCTTTTGCCTTTATTTTAGAGCAGTAGAGATAGATAGGAAAGGGGGGAGAAGAATGGGGAGAGACCTGCAGCAACGGGTCGTGAGCGGGAGTCGACCGCTGCGTCGGGGACTATCGGTCGCCCGCTCAGCTAGGTGAGCTACAGGGTTGCCCTTTTTATTTATTTATTTGTTTGTTTGTTTGTTTGTTTGTTTGTTTGTTTGTTTTCTGGATTTATCTTATTTTGAAGTTGAAATTAAGTAGCTGCCTATATTATTAAGAAAAATATGCAGAAAAATAAACAAAAATAAATTTCCTGCTATTGGTAGTATTATCTCTGGTTGGGCCTATTGGACCAAGTAAATCTTCTAGATCCCTATAATATGATTGAATGTGAATTACAGAGGCTATCCAATGTGTTAATTTTGTGGTCATTAAAAAAATGGACTCTCGGCACGACATCTGGTAGCTGCGTCAAAGGGGGGTAGTTTACGGTAAAAACGGCGCCCATTACCATGTGATTTCACCGATGTTTGTAAACATGCGTCAGCCACATGTGATTCAGGCGATGAGGAAAGACTCTCCAGCTCTCCGCCAATCGGCGGCCGGGGGAGTGTCAGGGGCGGGGTTCCCGTGTTGCGCTATGGAAAATCGTTAGGGGGATACACTGTGATAAACGTGCGTTCCGAGATTGATAATAGAGACAATGAGGCTGAAACGGGACTCTGGCGGAGGTACCATTCAAGAGAACACCGGGTCCGGCGTCGGCCAGGAAGCGGATCCATCGGCACGACAGGAACAGACGCCTGGGATAAACACGTAAGTTATTTATGCTATAACGAGGCCAAAGCGACATAATGCTGCGTATGTTGCGTAGAGAATACCACTATGTAATTCATAACCGCTGGAGTGCTGGATGAAAATGTAAGATAAAAAAAAAAAAAAAGCCAAGAGGCGCTGACGCGAAAGTATGAAGAAAGAAAATAAAAGTCGCGTATTCAAAGTCGCACATGACGCGTGATGTTGTTGTTTAGAAAGGTTCAAAACAGTTGTTTAAAAAAAAAAATAAAAATCATGTTTCATCATCGATATGACAACAGGTAAATTAAACTGCGTCAGCGCGAAGTCCGACAAGCCACATGAAATCCAGTGGGAATTTCCGCTGCGATGCTCGGACATGCTGCGACGGCGTGACAGCGTAGTTTTGTTCGCTCTGAAACTTGTGACCGATTTAAACGTTAAAATGAGGATGTAAACAAAGCGAGTTTGAGGGGGGAGGATTCGGCAGGGATGGCGTGTCAAGGAAGAGCTCGGAATAGGATGCTGCGCAAGAGATGGATAGTGCGTAATCCTGTTGTGGGAGAGGACGACGTTACGCAGTTCATATTGGCACGATCATTTAACACCTCATGGTCTCTTTTTTGACAGCGTGGCCAGAATGAACAGATAAGTTTTTCTCTATATAAAAAGCACTGTACTTTACGAACGTGGCCACAGATCGACCGAGGGGATTTGTGGTGTTGTTTGTGGGATTTGAGAGCAAAAGAAAACTTGAGCACGAAGTGAGGAACATGACGGTGACGCAGCTTGATTTGTGTTTCAGGTGTCAGACAACATTTGCTGCGTCACAGAGATCCCAGGAGGTCCTTAATAGTAATCTGGCTTTATAGTGCGCACTTGATATGTTGAAAACAAGCTGCATTTCCCGAACATAGGGGGTGCTGTTGAGTCACACAGTCAGGGGGCTGTATCATCTGCTCTGAAGGGATGTTGACACACAGGTATGTCTTCTCTCCCTATAACTACTCACTGTTTTGTTTGTTTGTTTGTTTGTTTTAAATCTCTGGGGTGGTCTGCTTTAATTCATTTTAAACTGATGGCCAAATATAATGTGAATTAATTTCAATTATCTGCACAAGCTTCCGATACCTGAGTTGTAGTTTTGTGCTTCCCCCTGCCACTCTAAAGGAGTGAGCTCTTTAGCAGGTTTGTCATCGTTTACTAGTGCCTGCCATGCGCCCTTGTGAGAGCACAACAGAACACTGACACGCCCAACGTGATGCCGCTGTTCTTGTTGTTGACATCGAGCCTGCTGGCCTCTCTCCCACCTTCCTAATGACCCCGGCGAAGGAAAGTGTGGTGCCTTCTGCTGCTCACCTGCCAAGAGGACGGGAGATGAAGCGCTTCATCACCTCTCGGAGGTTTGCGAGGTGAAAATGAGACACACGAGCGGGGGAGCAAACTCCATCCTGTCAAGTAGGTTTGTTCAGTCAATGGGTGAATCAGCAGTAGACCTCACGAGTTGCTTGAACCACTGGCAAGGAAATGGAAAGAGAGAGAAGGGGAGGAGACGTTTAGAGCCTTAATTATGTGTACTGAATAGTAACTTGATTCCTGAGGGAATGTCATCATGGCAGTTTTGAGACAAACAGGTAAAGGTCATGGGAAGAAGCTGATCACTGAATGAGTATCGGGGGTGGTCTTACAACAGAACGTCACTAGTCCTTATTTGCATTATTTTGAAAATATGAATATATAATGAACCCAATATCAGAAGTTTAGAGCTGCCAAAGCTTATCAAAATATTTTCCACTGACTGTTAGAATCATGCCCAGTGCAGTCATAATGTTTACCATGTCCTCTGAGGCTGACCAGTAGAACAAGTGACCCACTTTCACAGACAAGGAAACGTGACCTCAATAGTTATTTTGCTATTCTTTCGGGGAGAGGCGCTGCCTCTCAAGTCAAACAAACACAAGCGTTCAACCTAGTTTTATTCAGAGTTCTTGGAGATTTCACAATAATGCTGTTACGGAGAGCTAAAAAAAACAAAACAAAAAAAACAATCCCTGCTTTTTCAGCTGGAGCAAATGCAATTCAGCTGATACTTGCGGACCAAAACTAGATGCGGCGGAGAAGTGCTTTTAAGAGACAAGAGAGGCATGTGAATGTCCTGATGGATGTGTTTACAGCAGGAGGGCCCAGCGTCACCTGTAGCCCACGCAAACCTTCGGAGAAAATGGTGCGCGACCCACTGCCTCTTAAAACAGATCCCTCCTACACGCAGATTATAGAATAGGAGGTGGCACGGAGCCGAGAGATGACAGTGCTAAAATTAAACTCAGAGCACTGCTGGCCTTGCTAGATGATGATGTATTATTAGACAAATGTGAGGCAGCATTCATTCGCAGGTATTGTTAGCTGTTGTACACCTAATGTGAAGCAAATTGAGCAACAAAAAATAAAAAAAAAAATACTGGAAGCTATTGTAAACCACAAGGGACCACTCTATACTGCTGTTATTAAAGGCCTTGGTATTTCCCTGTGTAGACTGATGTATTAAGTTCTGTAAATACTTAAGATTAAGCGTAGTGAAGGAAAGTGAGCTAGTCAGATAGCTTCTTGTTGCGTCAGTGTTTTTGTCCAAAATCACTAATCAGTGGAAAACACTAACAAAGTTTTCCGTGTCTTGGAAACTGGAAACCTAATTTGCTTTTACCGAGAGGCTCCACAGCCACATTTCAAATCCCCTAAATCTACGTATACTTCGGTCTCTGCTTGTTTAATCTGTAATGCCACTCTCATTATCAGCAAGACATCTGATATTTCCCAACAGACGGAGCGAGAGCCAGAAGAGAGTGACAAAGTGTAAATCAGCTCTCACATCTGCCGTCTTCCCATTTATTTTCAACCCATTGTGCGGCACATCGAACAAACAAAGTGTCCCACTCATGTGAATGCTCACAATTTGTTGTTCCAAAGAGAAGACATTGCTACGTAGGAGGAAATATCCGAGCTATTATACGATCCAAACTTTTGGTTACAGGCAAAATCAACAGGACATAAGGTCTGATTGGTCCAGTCAGGTGTCTTGGGATTGATTTTGTAACTCCACTGCTTTGATGGCAACACATCAACATCAGTCGGCAACTACTTTGAAAGCGTGAAATCACCACAGTGCTGCTGTTATGACCTTTGTAGGGGATTATAATCCACATATACTGCTGCTTATGTATATATGTTGAGTAAATATAGTTTGCTTAACTGCGCAATTGTCTGAAGGTGGTTTAAAAACATATTACCTCAATGAGTTTGCCCCTCTCACTCCTGATAAATTAGGACCTCTAATCTGTAAGAGGATTAGCCACCTACCCTGTTTACACGTGCACGCATGCAAACAACCTCACCCCCCACTGTTACACACAATGTCACACATATGGAGGCACTCTGTGTCTATTTTACGTCACCTGCTCTGATGTGACCCAACCCAGTGACTGTGACACAGATTGGCAGGTAACCGTCTGTGCTGCCTGATGCACCATCAGTGCTTATCTCAATTTTTAAGCCACAGCAATATGTTTTGTTCCTATTCTCTTAGCTCTGGCTGAAAAAAACATTTGTTTATTTACTTTTTTTTTCTTTTAGCATCTGTTCCTATGATTGTAGGCTAAAGATGGACATTGCACGCAGCTTGATATCATGCCTTCAAATTAAACCCCAGTTGCGTAATGCACTTTGTTTTGGTTTTTAAAAGGGGCTGATGCACCTTTAACAAGCGGTAGATGGTCAGGTGACTCGGCAGAAAAAAAAAAAAGGAAAACTGCTTTGATGCAGAAGGCAGCCTCTGCACACACACAATGGGCTGCAAAAAGAGCTTGTAGTAAAAAGAGGAAGAGAGCAAGACAGAGTTCACGGATAGTAATGTTGCGTGGGAGGAGTCAGAATAAACAAGGCGAAGACGGATAAAAGGAGTGTTGCGGCCTTCAGACTACACTGTCTGCCTGAGTTATTCTTGAAGCTGACACTGTGTTCATGTAAATACTGGGAGTGCCAGTCGAAATCGAGGACATTTTAGCCTCTTGTTTGGGTCAAAGAACATTTCCGTAGAAAAATGTTGACTATCATGTACTCCCAAATTCAATTACCACTGAAACATATAACCAATCAGTACAACTGCTTTTGTTTTAGAAGCCAAGACACTAAATTGCCAGAGAAGAGGATTAAGGACTGACAGACAGGGAAATTGTCCCCGAAAGACACATGAAGATTTTGGATTAGTTCCTACGTCACCTTTTCCCATCAACAGGACAACAGCGTCTGAGACACTGACAGGACAGGATAATGCCAGCCTTTTAATGCCAGACCTACAAACAGAATACAGTGAGTTTTCACATTAATCGTCTTGGTTTTGTGCTGTCAGAAGAAAACGGGAGCAGCCGTTGGACAGAGAAAGTCTCAAATGAGTTCCCTGTAGACATTCTGTATTCTGCATGCCTCATTGGGATGGACAACAGGGGTTCATGCTAATGAATCCTTACCTATTTCAGGACCTGGTTTTTCCATCTCGCACCACAGTCAACCCCAGTTGGACCGGCAGCAGGACTGGATGCCTGAGGCAGACCCAGGAGAGGACACAGTATCCTATTGTGAATTACAAAGAAGGCTGCAGGGAGCTGCGGAGATCTATTTTTCCACAGCATGATTCATAGACAGTTTTTGTTAGGGTTCATCTCTGGTGCCAGTCTGCTGCCGTGGCCTTTCTTACACTGGGATCTTGGTCATCGGATGCACTTTTAATGCAAGGAATTGAGCTGCTGACTCAGTGGTTCTTCTCATTGGTGCCAGCAGAGAGATTGAATCTTCCTCAGTGTCTGGTTCTATTTTAATCTGTCCGTCTTCAGAAGAAGTTAGAACTTCGTTAGCATCAGCTCACACATGGAACTCAGAAAACGTACCAGTATTTCAACTAGTGTGTTGATAGCACATATTGGCTTATATAGCCAATAAAACGTACTTTATGCAAAGAGTTATTTTTACAGTACAGATGAAAAAACAGCTGGGAAAGATGCTTAAGATAATAAATAAAATGCAAAACTGCGATTTTAGCACCATGCCAGAACTTGAAGACTGTGCTTTTGAAGACTGTGAGATTGTTTTTCTCTGTAACACAGCCACAATTAAAACCAATAGGGACAACCACGAAAAGTGCCAATAGCATTTTTGTCCATTTTGTTTATGCAGATGCTGGATTAATTTAATCACAGTATCTTCAAAAACATCTCAATCGTTCCTAAGCGATTCATACATTAAGCAATTCCACCAGAAAAGAATGAAAAATAAAATTAGCATCAATTTAACTGCAAACAAATCAAATGTAACAGTTATAGGTGTAGGCACTTTTATTAATAGAATTACAATAATTGTTCAAATGAATTCAACATGTTGATCTGCTAATTAAACAGTGAACATGGTAGAATCTCAAGTTCAACAACATCATGCAAAACAGTCGTTAAAAAAATCTGTTTAAAGACGATGACAGCAGTGTTTTTGTCTTTCTAATTCCAGATCGGGACATGGATTGAAACTATATTTTTTATTTTAAAGTCATCCTCCCCAGGGAACTGGTTTCAGATGGTGTCTTAGAGTATACAATCCTATCTAGCACCATTTGAAATCGGTGTTCTTGAGTGGGAACAGACTTCGGGAATGACTTCGGTGCACAACTTCATTCACTAGGTTGGCATAAAGATTGGTGACATTGTTTGCATTCATATTTTTACATGCCCTTCCAGACTTATGTGGCATTCAGGCATTTGAAGTCATTTAAGAATATTTCAAAACAACATCCACTGGTGACAATAGATTGCCCACTGGTGCACTGGTGCAGCTCATGTTTGAGTCCAGCCTTCTGACCTCCCGAGCCCCCCTCTCACCAAGGCTGACCGTTTTCCTCTGGTGTTCAGAGTTTCCATCATATCTAGCACCATTTGAAATCGGTTACAATGTGGAGGGACTATCAACAAACAATGTGTCAGCCACATGATGAAATTCCTTAAAGTACCAGAAGATGGCAGCCTCACACTGCCAACAGCTCTTATCTAAGGAGGCCAAGTTAGAAGAATCCTGGAAACAATAAAAGACTGAATGACCCTGTTCAGGTACAAGACCAAGAAAAGTTTGGAACAAAGCATAACTTGTCGCCAAGGACTGTTGTGGCTTAGGAATTTGTTTTCTTCTTTTATTACAGTTGCTCAGCCATGATGTCTGCAAGTTGCACAGTTATCTTGGAATTTCTTTTCAAGCTATAAGTCATTTTAAAAAAAAGATTAATGGTTACATTTTTTAGTAGTCCTGTAGTTGTGTTTCAAATATACGTGTTTCCTCAGATTTAAATGTGCAAAATGTTAGATTATACTTAAATTAACATGTTGTTGAGGGCCATTTTTGCATTCCCAATAATAAAGCAAATGTAATTTCACTCATAGGTGTCTCATTTATTAAGTCTCATTGTTTTTAAAACAATTAAGTGAAAAAAAAACATTTCTTATGAATGATAGCAAATATGAATTTGTGTAATATAATTTATGTTAAAGTTCATTATCTTTTTGCGTTAATTGTCTTCACCTCAGTTTGGTTTTGAACTAAAAAAGACACAGGTTTAGCATCAGCTACTGCAGGTATGAGTTGAACTATTTTTAATTACAGCCTGTCATTTCTCCAACTCCAGGGCAGAGGCAATTCTTTGGAGTTTTTGAGCTTTAAATTAAATTTAATTATAGCACATAATCTTTTAATACATGCCTGCCTGACGTTCTCATGCTCCATTACGTGGAGACTAGATGGCGAATAAGGGCCAATATTAGCCGAAAGCATCAAGCCCGTAGCTGTCAACCCTTTTACCCTCACAGCTGACGTACGCATTAATGCAGTTGTCTTTTGAATAAATTATTGAAAATTCTTAATTAAAATGTATGAATGATTAACCCACACTGTCAAGGTTGTTACCCTTAACAGTGTGGGTTTAGAAGTGTGTGGTTTTGGAAAGCTAACAGCAGTTTTCCAAGAAAAGCAGTTTTAAATAGAAGTAGCTCTGATACAGAAAAACTCATTTCAGTGTTTAGTATTATTATAATGTACATAGATTTTGTTCCCATGTTGTGTGTTGTGTTATTTACCCACCTCTTAACCTTAAAGCAGTAGCAGTATCACATACTATAAAGTCTGTTTAAAACTAATGTACCTGCAAAGATGTGAGATCATTTATGTTTAAGTAACTGTAATTTATTCAATGTTCTTCTGTTTGTTTGCACCTGGACATGTAAATACTGTTTGCCTCAAGGGATAAGATGAGATTTAATGCCAAAATGTGCTACTTTTCTGTTTTGTCTTTAACTTGTAAGACGTAAGTCTGTGTTTTCTGTAACTCTGTCTCCATCAAACCTTTATATCTTGAACTCTACTGTATATAACACCCACAACATAACATAAAACACTTAGAGCAAGCGTAATTGAGCTACAAAATCCTTACTCACACTCTTATTTCAGTTGTTCATGTAAAGCCTTTGCTGGTTGTACTGATTTAGTTGTTACAGATTTGCCATCACCTTCACCATCACTTAACTCTATTGTACCACTAGCACCAGAAAGGTCTCTTCACAGCTTCTGAAATCCTCCTCTGACATTTTCTCGCACTAACAGTACCCAAACGGGGTTATCTGCTAAGTAGCACCGTCTACCACAGCTTTCTAATGACTCCCTACTACCTACTGACCTTGTCAACAAGATAAGTGTCAGGCAGTCCAGTCAAAGCCTAAATAAAGGGGATATATACTGAAAGGCTATCCTTGAGAGGGGCAAATCTTAACTCGCAACATGACCTTATTTTTATCTGTGGTGTCTGCAAGGAGCCAGCTAGGAAAAGGAGATGTCTAAAAACACTGCATGTTTCTATGTCAACAGCAAACAAGATCATTTATTGGTCAGTGTCCTTCCACTTTGGAGCTAAAGTGAGTCATAGGGAGTGCCTGCTTTAAATGTGACATCATCTGCAGCATCATTGATCCTGGACTCCACCAAGCTCTGTTTTGACTTGCCAGGCCTGTTTCGTTGTGTTGTGGTTAGTGTGACTGGTATCTCTGGTTACGTCAAACTACATTCAGGGTTTTCCTTTGACCTCAGCAGAAGTAGGAGGAGGGCTGCCAATTAAAATTACAGATTGGTCATAGCAGACATGGAAATTAAAAGCACTGAAATAATACTAATAGTAGGAAAATCAACCAACAGCATGTTTAATTTATGAAGCAAGGCTGTTGGATTTTTGAAAGAAGACATACCACAATCTCTTACGTATGAGAAGTTGGAGTCATGAGCATTAAAACACACCCTTGCTCCACAACTTTCAGAGTAGGCTTTAACTTAATTTGTCTGGTATGAACAGAGACTGACATTACAGTCTGTTAAAAGACTTCTTTCCTTCTGCTTATGTTAATGCTGAGGTACACTTATTTGTATGGCATTTCATTGAACTGCATCAGAGGAAAATAGTGTTAAAAGTTGACCCACACCGAAAGGCAAAGTAAAAAGCTGGCCATTATCAACGGGAGTATAACAATGCACACTTTCATACAATCTGTCTTGGAAGGCATTCATAGTATAGGACACATTTGTGCACAAACAGAGCCATAGAAGTAGCTAAAATAGGACTTTTGAGCGTCAATCAAACCTCTTTCTTCGTCATATCTACATGCCGGACACATTCTGACGTCATAAAAATGTGGAGTCAGTGTTTTCCATTTAGACCATCCACAAAGCACTTCAGTTAGTGTACAAGGATCTTTATGCCACATGTTAACGTTAATATTAAGATTGCTGCTACTCAGAGAATAGTTAGACAAGAGTTAGGTTATCTTTAAAGTGACACTTTGGAACCGGTCTGCCACACCTCAACAATGAAACTTCATTACTGCTCTCACTGAGATACAATATGTCCACATCATGAGTGTCCATATGGTATGAGGTATAAAGGCATATTAAATGATATGAGTGATACAAAGGGATACTATGTTTTCTACTGAAATAAAAGTGAGAGTAGGCTGCTCAAGTAAAACTAATAATCCATATTTTAAAGGTGCTTAAACTAAGAGCTGCTCTAATAGAAACATGTAAACATTTACATTAAGATCACTGCCATACAGATGGCGGCGTATCCACGCTACACATCTGTTTTTGGTCTTCTGCCGAGTCCTTAGTGGGAACCATTTATGACTTGTTTGTCTTAAATTTAAAGACCTCCATCCGCTCTACTCATGAGAACAATTTTAAAGAGGAGTCTACTACCAGCAAGAAGTTTCTCTCTTTTCATTTCTTCCCAACCTTTTTTTTTTTTTTTTTCAAACCACAGAAAAGTTGTGACAAACCCACTCCAACCATATGCCCCACATCTTGTGCAACCATGTAAGTGATTCAGCAAAGATACATGAATCATAAACAAGACTGTATGTGCCCCTTGTTCCAGTCAGGCTGCCAGGTTTACTCTACAATGCCACATGAGTTTGTCTGACCATGTGTGGCGTAGTTCCTTTTCTTGTTTACTGCCATCACTCGCTCTGTTTGAGGAATCCCCCCCCCCCCCCCCGTTTGTCTTTGTGGCTGGAACAAGATTAAATAGTCTCATGCACGAGAGCATTTCCTCCCCTTTGTGTCAAACAACAATATGAAGACTGATCATGATCTTTGAAAAAAAAAAATGCAATTGGGGTCATTAAAAGTCCTACTGTGTATTTGATTTTAAATTTCCTGAAAGAGAACATTAGATTTTTGACAATGTACTTACTTGTAGGCACATATGCTATGTAAAAACTCAGTGACACCTCAAATATACCCCGTATATGTATCTATACTGGTAATAAATGCTTTGAAATACATTTAGTTTTGATAACATTTACATTGATCTTTTACGTGCATATAAATAAAATCACTCTGCTGTTAGAAAATGTTTTATTATACACACAGATCTATTTTAACACACTGGGAATTATCAACAGCCAAGTCAGACACATCTAATAGGAGACACATCAACTATTAGTGTAACTGTCTTGTGTGGTGTTCAGTCAGGTCTTCATGAGTATTAGTATCTTTATCGAGGCATTCATACTACCTTATGTAAAACAAATTATAATTTTTGTGCCTCATAAAACAATAATTTTATCACAGAATATTACATTTTACAGACTAAATGCTACTTAACAGTGTGTTTATTCATTCAAATGCACATAGTTCATAATAGGAGTTACAAAAACATGTGCGCAACTACACAACAAATCAACAACAGGTAAAGTGAATAATATTAGCACTGAATGCTTTGGCCTCCCCGTGCCAATCTAAGTTCTGCCGTACAGCAAACGCTGCTCAGGAACAACTCAAGGAAAAAGAAAAACAGCAGTTGATCCGGCCTCAAAACTCCCCAGATCCCAATCCGATTGAGCTTCCACAGGATGCGCCAGAATAAGTGTGAACCATGGAAACCCCATTCTACAACCCACTGGACGCAAAGGATCCACATCTCAGTGCCAGACACCAGCGGACAACCACAGAGATCAGAGCTGTTTCAGTGGCACAAAATGGATCAACACAGTACTAGGCAGGTGGCTTGAATGTTGTGGCTAATCGATGTATGAACGTTTTTTTTTCTATTGTAATTTTTAAAAATAAATGTCTGTATAAGGGCTGCAAGGCTCGGTGGTTAGCACCGTCGCCTCACAGCTAGAAGGTTGCCGGTCCACGTTCCGGTTCGGACGCCCCAGGATCTTTCTGCGTGGAGTTTGCATGTTCTCCCCGTGCAGCGTGGGTTCTCTCCGGGTTCTCTGGCTTCCTCCCACACAGTTCAAAAACATGTTGAGGTTAATTGGTGATTCTAAATTGTCCGTAGGTGTGAATGTGAGTGTGCTTGGTTGTCTGTCTCTAAGTGTAGCCCTGTGATAGACTGGTGACCTGTCCAGGGTGTCCCCTGCCTTCACCCTAAGTCAGATAGGATAGGCTCCAGCCCCCTGCAACCCTTGTGAGGATTAAGCGGTGTATAGATAATGGATAGATGGATGTATAAACCGGTTTACTGTACATATTACCGTTCTAATAGTAGAACACAAAACTTGTGTTAGAAAAGGCTTGTTGTTTTGATCACAAAAGTTGAAAAATATTTCCAAAGGGTAACTGGGTCACCAAAAAGAGGATGGACAGAGCTGTCATCACGCTGTTCCTGTCCTTCCCAAACCGGATAGGGAATCATGGAAATCCAACGGAAAATGAACGGGTGCTGAGTAGCATATCACTATTGTCATGCAAAACTTTCACCACTCCTGTTTTTTGTGGTTTCCTCAATTCATTTCTAAGCTAAAGGGCAACATAAAAAAAAATGCTTCTAGAATATACACTTTTCAGGAAGTGAAAAGTGTATATTCTAGAAGTGTTCCATAGGATTTTGAAAGTGATGATATTGCATGAGTCAGAATGGGTGTGTTACTGTACTTCTGCAGTGGAAAAACTGAGTTTAAAGAGAAGGAAGAATCATTGTTTCCTGCTGTCACTCAGGTTTTTGGTCACTCTACTTCCTGCTGAGGCCACAGCTAAAAAAAAAAAGACTATTGAAGCGACACAAGGCAGGCATTAAAGTTGGTTAGTCATTACATCTCTACAAATAGTGCACTAACTGGATTACAGCCACATTATTAGTTAATTATAAAACATGATTACAGTTGCAGAGCTGGACCATTGGGCCACTGACTCGTGTGAATTGAAGGGTAACAGTTCACCTGGTTTGGTTGAGATTCTTTGTTTCAATGAGAAAACTGGTGATAGCTTACATTTTCAGTCACGATAGTAACATGGTTGAGGGATTGCAATGTTGGCCTGAAATATATGATGTTTTTTGATTTACAATGATTAAATAGTGTATGGGCCTTTCAGGTACCAAGAGGATGAATCCTACTGACTGACTACTGACCAGCAAGAACTTCACATCAGCACTTGGCTTTGATTGGATGGGTTGCTATGAAATTCTCTGTCTCCCTCAGAGTCCATTGTGCTCCATCGATCCATCCTTATTCTTTCTCAGTCTCACTTATAAATATCCAGAAAATGTATTTACAATACATTCTCATCAGCTTCAGCTGTTGTTTCTGTTCTAATTAGCAAATGTTAATGTGCAATACGTCAACCAAAGATGTGTTAGTTTTATCTCACAGCACCACTGTGCTCGACCAGTTGTCTCTCTTCAGTATTTTCCAACATGAGCAGCCTTTCTGTCTGTTTTGGCCTTGAGCCAGTTCATTCCCGCTAAAGATGTGAAAAATTGCTCAACCAGCTGGGTGCTGTGTTTTTAGCCAATGTTAAACTGGAGTAAATAGTCTTTTGTGAAGACCTTGGTTAAGCTGTGAATTTTCCATACAGTGTAGCAGCGTGGTGCAGTAACACTTATTAGGATTAATTAACTGCTGGTTTCAGTCTTTTTTCTGGTATGTTGTCAATAAGAATCCCGTCCTTTAAATCCTTTATTACCTAAAGTCAACAGCCAAATGGATATGGCTCCAGTGTGACCAACAATGTGGGCAACACCATGAGTGTTTTTTCACTCTTTGGGGGCGCTGAGGGTGGAGGATGGTTGAAGACTACAAATACAACCACTGTTGTCAAGGCGTCTGTAGTCTCGCTGAGTAATCCCATTCTGTGCTAAGGCTTCTGAGAACAGCAGCTAACCCCTCCCCTCTGGTAATTAACTATCTGCCCTCATAACTAAGATAAATAACAATCATAATGAATTCATATCCTGTTTATGGCCATGTTTTTCTCTTCACAGTTAATCCAGTCAATCCACAAAAAGCTCAGGTTTTTCTCACCCACTGAAGGAGACTGTAAAACTACAGCAAGAATGATTTACTGAAACCTGCTGGTTCTCCAGACTCAATAAACCCTCTCTGTTGATCCCGAAAAGGCACAGAAACCTCTGGCTCGACAGCATACCAGGGTACAATGAGACAGTGTCATCACATTTTATTATGGGGCTTTTCTCTGTACTGGGCACACCCCAGCCAGGATAATGGTTTGCTCCTACTCCGCTGGCACGACAGTGAATGCATTCATTGAGGCTCCTCTAAGGGACATAACATACTTTTAAAATGTGAAAAATGTTTCAACATGTGCTTTAAAGCATTTCTTTCTGAATATAGACATTTGTGCATTTATATATGTTTTGCTATAACAGTGATTTTGATCTGATTTTTTTTGTAAAATCGTCTCTCACATCTGATTGTTAAAACTCTTTTCATTTTACAGTCTTTTCTGCAATCGTAATATCAGCTTTCCACATATATGCAATGAATGGAAAAACATTTTCAAAGTTCTGCTCAATGAACCCTTTCAGTCACACATTCAAGGTCGAAAACATTTTTATCCTCTTTTGAGAATTTCTCCTCACATCACATTTAACATGGTAGCTTATATAGTCACATGCTTCACTGAGGGTAGCAAATCTACACTGGATTCTTTGCTCATGAAAGGAGGTTTCCTTCTTTTTTTTTTTTGCACAGCTTTCTGAACGGACCCCAGAACAATAGACAATGATGAAAAGAAAGTCAGGAGGCGAAGAATGTATCTGATTGTATCTTTATCAGAGACCACCTCAGTCTCAAACTGAATTAACCACATTGTATGCCTCTTGAATCACTCTTGTTATAGTTCTGTCCTAATAAGACAACCCATTAACAACATGTAAACATATGGCCACAAGATTTCTAAAAATACTTCAAACTAAAACACTTTTTAAACAATACTGCAATACTTTGTAAGACAAGAAGGCACTGTTAAAGTGTTTACTCCAGTTTCTAGCATAAATAATACACAAACAAAAGTACTAAAGTGGAATAAATTATTTACAACTTTGTGTTAAAAATAATGTGTCGATAAAAAAACAGAATTACAAAAAGTGCTTTGAATCACAGGAGCCTGATACTTCCGCGTAAATAATGATAATGTACAGCAGGTTTGATTATCTGCCATTTGAAGTGCAACGATATTGAAAGTGAATTCTCTTTTTGTTCCACCGACTCATAGAGGTACTGCTACAGTTTCTTGCCACGTCCTTCTTGGGTCACGGATGCTCTTTAACAGATTTGCGCTGTTCCATTCATAGAGCTGGTGTTGACAAGAAATGAAGGGGAAAAAAGTGTTTAGGTTCAGTTTTATTCCCACGATGGAACAAAAAATGTAAATGGTACCCCATTTATGTGTTTTATTTTTTTGGCTTTACTATAACAAAATAATAACACTAGTAACAAGAATCACATGATTTTATGGAATAAGTAAACAATAGTTAAACATGTTTCTGGGGCATTTTGATGGTTTCATTGTAATAAAGACACAGGAGATGGCAGATACCTGAGTGAGGCAGGCAATCTAAAGATTTTGGAACTGTAATAACTCCGGCTTCAGGTCTTCTCTGGTGTCATATGAGCTATGGTGCCATCAAATAAGGAATTTGTGTCAGAAATATCGAGTTGTGTTATTTTTAGGTTAAGATTGTATTAGTTTACTAAATGCCATTTTGTTGCATCCTTAATTAGCATTCCACAGTGTTAAGTGTTAGTTACTGCATCTTATAGTCAATAATTATTTGAAAGTTTGATGTTTGAGGCCTGATGCAATATAGGAAGCTTTCATATTGTTACAGTGTTAATGAGATATTCACATTTAATGAAAGTTTCTCTAAATGTAACTGAGCAATTTGGTTTAAGATAAATACCAAGTTGTTATTTTGCATGTGAAAGCTCACATGAATGTCTGGCAAAAAGGCTGAAACATAAACCTGAAAAATAATCTTTGCATGGTTTTGACATTTGTTGATGTTTTTTTCTGGGGTTTTTTTGTTTGTTTTTTTAAACATCCAGATTCCTTCCAGCCTAAAGAGAATATTTTTGTTAATGCTGATTTCTATGTCGCAGCCAGCAATATTATGGGATTTCCTGTTGACTTCCCTCATTCCTCAGCAGTCCGGAAACACATAACTAAATTTCCTTTAGACAGCTCAGATATTAAAAGGTAGTTGAAAAACTGAAACTGTTGCAGAGTTATTGCCCTGGTACTTCAGTGCACGCTGTAGCATTCACGGAAACATGTGTTTAAATTTGATTATGTGCTGTATGTACCGTTTACATTCAGAGCATATGTGTAAACCTTAAAAGGCCAAAAGAGTAGAACGTGCAAAGAGGAAAAAGCGACAGAAGGATAAAAAGTATAATCAGGTATGAGCCATGCATAAAAGGTGTTAAGAGTACAAATATTGAATCTTACCCTTTTCTCCTCAGTAGAAACTTGTGTATAAAGAACACAACTATACATACAACTGAAAAGGAAATACAAAAATATATATAGTTTTGTATTCATATTACAATCACAAAATGTTGTCAAAGAGAGGATTACAAAGAAAAAGTGGTACATTACCTAGTAAAACGACTATCACACTGATGATCACAGGTTTATATCCTGAAAGATGACATGTAAAGTTAAATACAGAGCAAATAATCACATTAACATTGTATGATGACTGGGGCTTAATGACTCACCGACACCACTTTCTTCAGGTTCATCATGCTTTCCTGAAAGTATAAAACAGTATTATTAGTATGCAAACACATTAAACTACCATGGATAAGAGGACTGCTGACTCAGGTTACATTATAAACTTGATCAGCACATAAAACAAGCTCTCTTACAAACTAAGGACTTCATTTACTGATTTCGAGACACTACACTGACAGTTTATACATGAATACAACATCTTTCAAACTATTTTTTCAGGTCTTTTTTTTGTATTTTTAAAAATCAGATTACTGATTTAGACTTCATCTCATTCTGAAGATATTAAACTTGACTTGTGTCAGTACATGGAATCAGAGGACAAACTTTGAGGCATGGATAACTGTGTTATAAGGAAACAATACATTTGCTTGCTTTCTCATGGAGAGTTAACTGAGAAAACTGACAACACTCATGTTAGACATTAAGCTACAGCCTGCAGCTGGTTAGCTTAGCTTAGTTTTAAGACTGAAAACAGCTAGCTGGTCTCTGTCTGGCAGGAACTCATCCATCCATCCACCGGCACCTCTAAATCTCAAAAACGGTTTGTTTAACCTTTGCAAAAATTGGAATATAAAAATACATTTTCCCATTTTGCAGGTCGCTATGACTCAGAGCCAAGAACTGAAACCACTGACAAGTGGAAGGAATGACATTGATCATCTTGTTACAACGTACTGTTCTGCTGAGAAACCTTGATTCCTGGCATTGATGTGGATTTTACTTAAACACATATCACCCGCCAAACCTTTCCTACAGACCAAACACACCACCCAATGTGGCAACAACCCTTGCCAGCTGTCTGCAGGATAATGTGCCCTGCCACACTGCAAAACCTGCTCAGGAATGGCTTGGAGAACACGACTAAAAGCCTGAGGTATTGGCCAGGCCTCTAAACACCACCAGAGCCCAATCTAATCTGGTATCCACGGGATATGCCTGAACAAGCCTGATCCACGCAGGCCTCAAACGGATCTGCTGCCAACATCCCAGAGCCAAACACCACTGGACACCCCTCAGAGGTCTTCTGTCCATGTCCTAATGGCTCTGACCTGCTTTAGTGGCACAAACAGGACCTACACAATATCAGTCAGGTGGTTTTAATGTTGTGGCTGATTGGTGTAAACTGGTGGCCTCTAACTTCCCTTAGAAGAAAAAAAAATACCAAAACGTTTTTTACAGTTTGACTTATCTAAGTCTCTGCAAGATGTGATGTAGGTTAAATTGATTCATTTCTGAATGCTTTAACAGGCAACTCAGAGTCCCATTCAACGAGTCACAAACACATGTAAGTTCTGGCTGACTTGTCTCATCTCATGGTTTTAAAGTCAGCTGTCAAAACTGATTATGATGCAAGTCTCATTATAAATGGTTTTGTATATCCAAGTATATTTCTACAGCAGTGCAACCTATAATATCCACAACATTATTTTCCCATTATGACCAGTTTCCAAGTTTTAAATCTAGGGTTTGACAGACAAGTCATGTCAGCGGGGGGCTTGTCAAACTAACTTCTCAGTCCAGATCTGCAATGTTCACAGTTTTTTCCCTCACACAGTAATGACATGCAATGACACCTGTCCTCCACTGAAGCAATTTAAGCAAAACAACAATTACAGACCAAAAAAAAAAAAGAATTAAACTCTGTTGCTTTTCAAGAAATCTTTCTATACCTTGCAATGAAGATGATGTATTGGACGTTACACTGGTTGTCGTATCCCCGGCTGCCAAAATGTCTCTGGCACCTTCTGGATAAAATGATCACAATGATTCTTATTTCTTCTTTGGAGTTTGGAGAGAATAAAAGTAACTCTTCAATCTGAAAAGGCTTTTCTGAGATGCATGCAACATGCACATTATAAACTCATGCAGCCAAGTGCTGTGCAACTCAACGTTTTTCTGTACCTCGAACTGAAGGTGAGACACTTGGTGTTGCGCTGGTTGTGAAAGCTGTTGATGCGGCTGGTGAATCTGCAGCAGTGGATGATTCTGTGACATGGAATGTATATATTTGTTCTATTATTCTGTGTTATTGTTAACATAATGCAATACATATCAATTGTTATCTTTAAGATTCTCTTAAACATTTCAGTCGTATCTTGTGTCTCTACCTTGTACTGAAGAGGCTGTTGTAATTCTATCTTCTGCTGTCACACCTACGAACAAGAACACTGCTAAATTTATCTGAGGTTAAAACGAATACCATTCATCAGCTTTTTATGAAAATGGTGGTGGAGCATGCATATAAATGTCATATCACATGCAGAGCGTGTTCTGCATACAAATGCGAGCAATGCATCAGCACATGCTTCTTTACTTCATATTAGGTCAAAGGCAGCAGCTGTGCCCTGAAACCCACCCATCCATCTTGAAGAAAATTACTACTCAATGTTCAACAGTGTGTTCGGTGAGGGGTGATGTTGAACAGTGACCAACTCTTTAGGGAAAGTCGCCCTTTAATTAATACAATGTTAAGTTGTTTAGGAGAATGTAAGTGTGGCAGTTAGTAACAGCAGACATACAGTAAACAGTAAGTAGAAAAATGCTGTAAAGCTTGAAATACAGCTTCATGAAAGAGTATGCAGAGAGGTTTTAAGTGACTATGTTTAAACATGGCTGCTGTTTGTACAGTGTTGAGTGCCTTTGGTGACACCATGGCAACACCAACACCGTGTGCACAGTATCTGACTAATAACAGTATATTACAGATGAACATTTAAGTGCTTCAAACTGTACTGCAAAGTCACAACTCTACTGGTTATTAGAGCACACTTGTGTTATGTTTTCTATCTTCAATTGCAAATCATACACACATTCCTTGTCAACACTTTAAAGTGTAACAAAGGTTTCCTGACCCATGTATTACATTCCATTCAGCTGATATTTTCATTGTACTTTACTGTAGAGTGGAAATCTACTTGTAGAGCCTGAAAACATTCTTGGGACTGATGCAGTAGTTCATCACAGTGAACATTAAGCAGCCTTTATTTTTCATCCCACCACATTACTGTGTGCTTCATCATTGTGTGGTATGTTGGGCTATCCACCGCAATGGTTTTGGTATGTGCTTGAATGCACCAACGGACATTTGTCAAAAGTTTTTGTTTGTTTGTTTGTTTTGTTTTCCACAGCTGTTGTTATCTTAATAATATCCAACTAAATTATTGTGTCATACAAGACAAAAAAATATTTCATCTATTAGTTTCCATTCAAATAAGCGCTTTTTATAATTGATATATTTGGGTATGTTACTAATACATTTGTACATGTCAATATTTGGGTATGTTACTTATACATTTGTACATGTGAATTTTTTCTCTGACATTTTGATAATATTGTGCAACATATTATTTTTAACTTATTAATAGTTTTAGGCAATTTAACAATGTTTTTCAGAATTAATATTTTTCAGAAATATTTATATTTTATGGAAATTGTATTTTTACTTTCTAATTGAATTTCATTAATATGAACTGACATCATATTTTTGTAAAGTAAAGTTTTTTGGACATATATACATGTTTTTGGAAATATAAATTAAATTTAAAGACACAAGTGACTCTCACACAGCAGTATGTAATGAAAGACTGGAAAATTGATGCACAAACATATTGCATGGTTTGAAAATGCTCCACAGTGTTTGTAAAGACTACTCATAAATGATGTGTTAAAACACACACAATCACCTCTATGGTCCAAAAATTTAATTCAAAAATACTAACTTCACATGAGCCTTCTTCCTATCAGCATAACCAGCAATCTATAAAACACCAAGTAAAAATACTAAGAAGCAGTGGGCTTACCGTTGCATTCTGGCGGCTGAGAATCGTATTTACCAGTTTCCCTGCACACAATGCTATCATTCCCAGTGAGAGTGTATCCTTCATCGCAGGTGTATTGTACGATTTCTCCATATTTTGGGTGATCTTGGGTGTCCCACGAGCTTTTGCCATTGGTCACTTCAGGAGGTGTCGCGCATGTTACAACTAAGAAATCAGTAGAAAAAAGTTTACAACTAATGTCCTTGATAAAACAAATAATCAATGTTGTTGCCATATAAACTGTAGCACTTGATGAATGACAAAGAAGAAACATTTTGGAAAAACAAGTTCACAAACAGAAAAGTACAAATTTTTTGCTGTATAAGAAATTGATGAAAACGGTCTTAACTCACTCAGGAGGAGAGAAACAGGTTGTTTAGCTTTTGCAGGCAAAATGGAACTGATAATTTCTCCTCGTTTCAGACATAAAGAAACACAAACTGAGACACTTACTGTTACACTTGGCTCTTCCACTCCACCCTGCAGCAAAGCACTGTTTGTAGCTCGAGCCACTAATCCGGTAACTGTAGAAAGACAAGAGGAAAATGAAGCAGAAATCTTTATTTAAAGAGGAATCAGTACTGTAGAGTCTTGATATTGTAACGCACTGGAACGATGATTTCAACTCCAGAACTACATTCCTACAGAGTTAATCAAGAAGTATGTACTGTATCAACAACCCTCTCGATGATGTCAAAAGGAGGGCCAAGTTTCAAATCACTGAAACTATGAAGTAACACCTTCTGGCAGCAGCTCTATTTGTCTTTCGAGAGAATGTGGTTTTCTATTTTCCATTAGCTTTTGAATTCCATGGTGCATCCTTAAGTCATGTCTGGTAGACAAGTGCTGGCAGAGATACATGACTACCTGAACGCCTCCTGTGTGTCACTGGAGCATGCTGGCGGTTACTTTTTTGATTTTCAGAGATAAGCATTTTCAGATAGCATTCAAGCAGACAGCAGTCCAACAGGAAGATCTCACACCTTGTAGATTTATACTCACCCTTTATCACAAATGACTCTTATTACAGCACCAAACAAGGTACCTGCGCTGGTATTAAAGCTCATGTTTTCCTGAGGTTTAGGGGGACCGCAGTCCTTTTCTGTAATATAAAAAAACAAACAGGTATTTTACAGTCGCACACATACCCCAGACATGACCAAATAAAGCTGCATGCATGTCAGCAGAATACAAATGAAAGTAGACCCACTTTTGCAAGTGAGATCAGGTTCAGTCCACTTCTTATCGATGCAGGTTATAATCCCAGAGCCACTCTCTCGAACGTATCCGTTGGCACACTCTAAAGTAGCCTCAGAGCTCTCTGGGAAATCATTCATTAGGAGTGCTTCATTGGTTAAGACAATATTTTCTCTTCCCTGAGGTTTAGGACAGTCGGCTGGAGGGAAGACGAGACAAAGAAGCAATATTGTGATTGTTTTAGAATCAGAATCATGACCAGCTTCAGTCAATCAAACAGTAATCCTGAAAGCTTGACATGTAAAAAACAAGCGTCATACTGTCTATCTACAGAGAGCACAATGCAGGAAAGAAAATGCACTGCCAGTCCTGAGTGAGTCGTTGTTTCCACATATAAGCTTTTGTCTTTTGTAGAATTTAGAATAATAATAATAAAATAAATAAATAAATAAATATAAGTTTAAGAATGAAAGCACTACTGACAGTTAAGTCTTTCTAGCATCCTTTATTCAATAACACTGCAGTTATAAAAGTACTCAGATTTCTCATAAGACATTAAGTCTGCAACTATCACTGTTAATAAGTTATTAATAGTAATCAAGGATATGGCTAAGTAAAATGAGGTCATTTTAAACCTTTATTAGAAACTGGCACTGATCAGACATCAGAGCTCGTCTTCCACAAGGCAGAAAACAGCTTTCTGTTTATTCTGGCAACTTCATACTAAATGGAAATGTCTTATCTCCAAACAAATACAAGCAATATTTCCAAAATAGTAGAAGGAGGACACTTTATAGTTTAAGGTGTATATTACATTTTTTTAAATAAACAAAACAAGAGTGTACCAGTATTTATTGCTGCATTTCTGGTGCTGTACTATTATACAACATTTGTCATGATCTATTACTATTTTGCTGAATGATCTGACAGAAAATGTATCCATTAAACTTTTTAAAAAATGTTCAGTAATAAAGCAAAGACGCTGTAGAACTCCAGAAATGGTACGCCTAGTTGATTTTCTTTGGTATGACCATAGAAGCTGAATATATTTCTACAGAACATGTAGCCCTGCTCTTCTCGCTCTCATGTGACTTGATAAATATTATCTCATTAAGCAGACATAGAGGCTGATGTTACACTGACCTGCTGCCTGCACGACCAGCAGATACAGTAAGAGCAGCGGTTTGACTCCTCGCCGTCCACAGGTGTCCAATAAAGCTTCCATGTTCCGGCAGAAGACCAAAGGTTCCGATCCGGCTCCTCGACGCTGTGGTCCGACTTCTACAGAGAGGCGCCGCTGAGACACGAGTCGCTCTTCAGCTTGTCAACACTGACCGTCCGCGGCAGCAACACCGACTGTCCATTTTGTCTGAGTCAAGTTAGCTTTAACAAACCAGAGAGACCGGACGTGAGATAAGAATTCTGTCACAATAAAAGCAAAACATTGCCAGCAAAAAAAAAGTCACGTACATTCGTCCTCAAATGTATTCATACCCCTCCATTAAAGAAAAGACAAAATTCACAATAGTCATTCAAAAAATTAGAAACTGAAAAAAGTGATAATAAATACAAATTTGATGAATTATAATTTTAATGAAATAAGACCTTGGTTTTGAATTGTAGCTGAAAAGAATGTTTTCAAAAAAAACAAACAAAACTGTCCTGGACAAATTAGAGCACTTTGATGTTGAGCAGTGGGCCAGAATCCAAATACCTGTCATCAGGTGCAGAAGTCTGATTGAGAGTTACAGAGAACACTTGATTGCAGTGATTGGCTCAAAGGGTTGTTCAACAAAATATTAATTCATGGGTCCATCATGCTTGTTTGCTTGTTTTGTTGTTGTTGTTGTTGTTTTCACACACACACACACACACACACACACACACACACATATATATATATTTCTTTTGAATGACAATTCAAAAGCAATGTCATGATTTTCTTTTCTTTTTTTTTTGTTTATTGTAGCTTTTGTAAATATCAGCTTATTCCAGTAACAGCTGTTTTTTCCTTCTTTAATGGAATGGTATGAATAAATTTGAGACTCCTGTATACTGCTGTCTAAATTGTCCGTAGGTGTGAATGTGAGTGTGCTTGGTTGTCTGTCTCTAAGTGTAGCCCTGTGATAGACTGGATTAAGCAGTGTATAGATAATGGATGGATGTATACTGCTATTTAATAATGCAACTCAACTATTTAATACACTATTTAGTTATTCCCAAAGTTTTACATTTCATTTTTCCATACTATTGATCAATCACACTATTAATCTCTGTGTTGCATATACCTGTTTATTACAAACCTGTGCATGCATTTCTGCACAAAAACCTGATAAATTCGCTGTGTAATAAAGATTTTTTTCTTCTTCTTCTTCTTTTTTTTAAAAACTTTAATCTGCACATTTATGTGTCCTAATCTCTTTTTTTTTATTCCTGTGTGACTTGGGGTAATCTTCTTCTTCTTCTTCTTTTAAACTTTAATCTGCACCTTTATGTGTCCTAATATCTTTTTTTTATTCCCGTGTGACTTGGGGTGAAACTACAGTTTACATCAAGTACCCTTTTCAGACATGCGATATGGAACATTGCTGGCTTCATCAATCAGCTAAAGTGATGGCATCTTGACATTTAGATCAAGGTCACTTTTCTATTACTGTTCTTCATGGCATTTCATTTAGACTAACTCACTACGTTATCATTCAACCAAGGCTGGGCAGCACATTAAGGGGTGTACAAGTCATGTAATCATAAACAAAAGACTAAGTCTAAACAGATAGCAGCTTATCAAACTGCCTGTCCGAATTACAGAAAATTCTGTCCATTCTTGACGACAATCTAACTATTTCTTTATCAACATTAAACATAAAATTATTATTGAAGTTAAATGAGCAGATACTACAACTCTTTTGCTTTGGAGATGCAAAAATGGACCCTGTTACCATTTCACACTGCAGATATTTGATAAACTTAGAGGTAACACAGGAACAAACACAAAACAAAAACAAAAACAGATAAGATTCATTTTTTAGTAACTACTACTAATCTTGCCTCTCAGTCTCTGTCTTCTTTGCAGTAAGTTTTATCTTTTTTATTTTATTTTTTTTAGCCTTTTTGTCATTATTCAATAGGAAAGTTGAGAGAGCGAGACAAGAAAGTGGAGGAGAAGAATGGGGGAAGGACCTGCAGGAAAGGGCCATGATCGGGACTCAAACCCATGGCCTCTGGATTGGGGCCTATAGCCCCTGAACATGGGACAGCAGCTCAACCAGTTGAGTTATCACAGCGCCCCAGTAAAGCTTTTTCTTTACGAAAATTTCCATTTGTAGTGAATTTGTATTGCAAAGAGCAGTTCAGACTTGGGCCACGATGGAAGTGATACAGAGATGACACACAGTCCAACCTAGTAGAAATTCCTTGTCAGCTTTTGCAGAAACATGACCATACATGAAGACATGTTCAGATGTCATCAGATTGCATTAAACAAATTACATAATAATAATTCAGTTTTATTTTGAAAACCACAAAAGAAGTTTTGCTTTGAAAGTCTCTGCCTTTACATCAACGTGTGTCAGCGGCTTTACTTCTGCCAGGAGCCAGAAGCTGTTACAGACAGGTTTAAAAGTGAACAATAAGGACAACCAAATAAAGCAGCTAAAATGTTTTTAAAAATAGATTCTAATTTGAATTAATACATCATTAAACAGACAACAAAAAGTTAAACTCCCTGTCAGCCCAGCAGCCAGAGCAGTTTAGTAATCCCCACCTCCCAGCAGCAGAGATGTCTCCCATGTGTTGCAATGGCAACAAGAGGAAACACTGGGTGTGTCCTGGAAAAAAGGGGGCATTCCTTCTCCTAGTCCTCAAAAGGGGGAACCCTTCATAGTGTAGAAATTCTAAAATGAATAACATACTGCATGTGTGTATGTGTGTGTGTGCGTGTGTGTGTATGTGGCAGAAATAACAACAATAATGAGAAGAATAAATCATGATCATCAAACGTATAAACCAGACGAAAGGTAGGGATTGTGATTTTAGGGGTTTAAATGTCTTTCATAGCAGTTTACACGAGAGTAAAGATTCTGAGTCATTGTCATGGAGACCTTCCACCGTTTTTCTCCAACAAGGGGGCTGTGCCTCATTGCCTCAGACACACGCACTCTAGGGTGAATTCCAAAGAATTCACCACCCATTTTCAACCACATAAGTTTGTTGACGGGGGTAATCTCTTTCCTCCACCCAGAGTTGCCTGAGAAACCATCAGAATCCTTACACAGAAACCAGGGAACAAAGAGCTAACAAAGTTCAGTGGCCCGTAGCTGTACTCTGTAGTGAAGGTTTTTCGAAGCAGTAAGAAAACACCAGAAAAGGGATATTTTTGGTGAGGCACATTACATCACCTAAAAAGTAGAATATTTAAAGAAACCTGAGGTCTCACTGGTTTGGGAGTGGAACAGGCATTGGGATATTCGGTATGATGTAGAGCCAATAAAATGTGACCTGTAAAAAGTGTGTGGTGCACCTCATTCCCTTTTAAGGTGTTCAAAAAAACTAGCATTAGTGGGTAACTAATGGTGGTTTTCGAGGCAGCTACTCATACTTAGATCCTCCAAGAGCTGTGGCATGGCCTGCTTTTCTTATCTCTCTGCACACCCTGTCCAAATGAATGATTAAGACACCTCCCCTCTCTACGAATAACCTAGAAGAATGCATCTGCTTCTCCTCATGCCAGATAATGGGGAGAAAAAAGGCTGCCAGAGTGTTAATATCAGCTCACTGCTGCATAATTCACCTGCCTCTCTCATGTTCAGACATACTAACAACATGATGTAATGAGAAGCAATATCATAACTCCTTGCACATTTCTCCACATTTACTGGAAGGTGTAATACCACACATACTTTTTGTCTCCTTGACACAACACATGGTACTGACGGGGGAGCTTCATTTTGGAGATCCTTTTGTGACATTTCACAAAAGTGCAGGGAATAAAGACACTTGGGATTCCTAAATACAAATTTCCTGCAGCTTTTTTTTTTTCACGAGAAAACACTGATATGGTGAACTTGCACTGCGCTGTGTGTATGTATGTATTCTCATCACGATGGCGGCTGAACTAACAGTGACCTTAATTTGAAAATGAACCTTACTTATAGACAAGTGGTTAACAAAGAGACACATCTTTTCCTTAACATCTGAACTGATAAGTGTCCTTTTCCAACAATACACGCTTAACACTTTCCTGAAAGTCAGTGACATCTAGTGCTGAAAAGGACAAACTGCATTAAAGTTAGAGGTAGAACTAGTGTAATCATGATGCAACAAAGGAGAAATTAAGTTGCTTTCTTGCTGTGCTTTCAGGGATTCAGTGTTGCACTTCGTCTTATTTATGACTTCAAAAATAATACATCAGAACATATCTCTATGAGTCTTGCCTGTGGACATTAAACTAACCCTTAAAAATATACTAAACTAAACTTCTGGTTGGTGAATGAGAAGCAGTTGAAATTTTACAGAAGAAAATCTATTTATAAATATACGTTATAGATACACTGAGAGCATCAGTGTCTTAGTTCACTGTTGCACAGACAGTCACGGAGAATAGTATCTTTATCTCAATGAAATTTTATCATCAGCTGTGTTCTTTTTTCCTTTAAATCAAGTTAATGGAGCAGAGTATAGTTGCTTTAAGACAGAAAACAACACAGCAGTAACCCAGTATTTACGTCAGAGGAGATTTAATTCAGATTTCTAAAAATAAAGAAGAGGTAAAGACAATGCAAGGCATTTACCTCCGATATGGCGTTCCAGCCACTTCCACTCATTTTACGTCAATACCTGAAATAGAATGCAATGTTCCGACCATGTCAACTGGTTCAGGCAACAGATCTTTGTCATAGCAGTGCAAAGAAGAATTAACTATGGCTTAGTTAGTGAACCGAAGCCATCATAACTACACCTGTGTTTTCCCCACTTTGACAAGTCAAAATGTCTGCCATGAAAAATGTCTATTATCAGACCGTTCGCATTTATCATTCTGTTGTCATTAGGCTCCTCTTCTACCACCATATTAAGTTTTCAGCGACTAAACAGGTGTCAAAACGTTCTATGTCATTATCGTGGAACAGCCAACTGTGAAAAATGTCCTTATCTGCTCTGCTGAAGCTCATCAGAGATCAGCTGCAGAGGAACATGTAGAGCCACTGGACTTCTCCGCTGTGAGTCTCCAACTGTATGAAGATGACAGAAAACGCTGCAGAAGATCGCAATATAGGCACTGTCAACCCCTCCTTTAGAAAATGTTCAAAAAATTTGCATTTAGTCTTTTCCCTTGCAGCTAATCCAGTTTTGATTTACAAATGCTTAGAAA